TATATTTGGAGGGGTTGCTAATCTAGCCCAGAAAGAGCTTTTTTTGTCTATGTGATAAGAGAATTTGATGAACAATTTAATGAACCAATGAGAGGTCGTGGTTAAACAGTATCCAGCACATAGTGTTTCATGACTTGGTCATTAAAAGTTATATTATTTTGTAATGGCTACAGACAGGTGGGGAGGGACATCAAACTGGAACTTAGACAAAAAAATGACATGTTCCAAGGAAGTCCAACAATTTGCAGTAGTGAAAAAATACCTTTTTTTAAAAAAAGAGAGGGGGGGGGGAGAAAACATACAGAAAATCCAACCCAATATGCTCAGGAATTGCCAATGATTGAAAGCAGACTGAGAAAGAAGAACTGAGGGGAGGTTTCTGCCTTTAAAATCGTTTGGGGACATATATTCTGCCTTTTTAATATTTCCCAAAACATTTCTTTCTCTGGATTCTTCCCACAACTACTAATTTATAGTCTAGCTGACTGTGCTGAGCAAGATCTGTTTAACTGTGATTTAGCTATGATTCATGCAATGGTTTAGAAATCTCAGTGGCAGGGTTCGATTCAGTAGACTAAGCCAAAAGCAAATGAATCCCATTATGGTATATTAAATGTAGAGCTGGTTGGTTGAAATCTCAGGCAAGAATAAGCCAGATACTTAATCCATCTTCTAGCACAGTGTTTCCCAAACTTGACAATTTTAAGGCATGAGGACTTCAACTCCCAGAATTCCACAGCCAGCAATGCTGAGTTGAAGTCCACATGCCTTAAAATTGTCAAGTTTGGGAAACACTGTTCTAGCAAATCCCCCCTTATTTGTGATAGAAGGAGAATTAGATCCACTTTAGCCAGGAGCTGGCTTCTCCTGCAGCCCAGATATTGCCCTCTGTGTTTTAATCTCAGCATGCCCATTGTACATTTACCTGTCCTTGAAGGAGATAATCCACTGAAAATTTAGGACCTTCCAGACTTCAACTGGTAGCTAGACTGACTGGGTGTCAAATGGAAAATCACTTACATTTTCAGTATTATCTTTGAGTACAGAAGGTGGCACCTGGCCCTTGGTACAAATACCATCCAGCCATGCCCTTGCGCTGAGAGATTGCAGACAAGGCAGATTTTCTTTCTAAGCCAAGGCTTGCAGCAATGATGGGAATGGCTGTTTTTCTTGGACTAGCCTTTCCTTTCCTTTAAGCCTGACCCACAGAGTAGATGATAGGATTTAACCCTCATTTCTTTGGGTGGGTTTTTCTGCACTCATCCTAGGTGAGAAATAAAAAAGAAAAGGGAACCAGTAGTTTACATGATTAATATAATGTTTGATCCATGATTCTAGTGCTTGAGTGATTTCAAAAGAATGAGATCCTTCCCCCCACCTCTCTGTCCCCCAGTCTTGGGTTGCTTAAAAGCAGGCTTGCACTTATGGCATAGTGGAGGGAGAGATCCCTGGCTACAGGAAGGGATAAAGTGGCGTCCATTTTTTCCCCTGTTCTTTGCATTCCTTGCAACGTCCCTTAAGGCTGTGACACTTGATCAGTCAAGAAATCAGAAGGCGCTAGCTAGCATTTTCTGACTAGCAAATGTTATTAAAAGGCATAAACATTAGTGAACTGCTGCTCACTTCATCAGTTGCACCCAGTGGAATTGCAGCTCATGAGAAGGTCTACCAGGCTCCTCATTTTTTTAAATCACCATAAACTAACTTGGCTGTTCTCTTGCAACGTCTGATCAGTCAAGGTAAACGAAAAGGCACAGTGACCAACCTACTGGTTTGGGGGTTTTTTTCCCCTCCCTGCATGGCTTCTGGACATAAGCATGTCCCATTTTGGCTTATTGGCAAAGGGAAAGAAGACATGAAGAGGCCTGTGCAGAACTGGGGCATGCCAGGTTGGCCTCAGTCAGCAGACAGTTGCCTGTGAGTTGCCGCTTCTGCTTGGAGCCCAGCCCAGGCTGGAGGCACTGTTGCTCACTCCACAGCAGCTGGCAGCCCTTGTGATGTTTGTCATGTAAACAGGTTAAGAGGCGGGTGCTGTTTGTACTCCCCAGTGAGGTAAATGAGCAGCCCTGATGAGCTGGCAGGACACCTTGGGAGGGAAGGGAGAAAGTGTTCTCCTGGGAGGACATTTCTTAGAATCCTTAAAAAAACACATTAGTGGTGGCCTATCGCTTCCTGAAATCTCCAAGATCGAGAAAGAAAGGGACAAAGGGGGCCTTTACGTCAAGCCTGGGCTGGCATTCTCAGGGCTGAGACTCATGTTCGATGTTTGGCTCAGATTAAGAAGCAAGAAATAAAAATAAGAGAATTTTCCATCACCCTTGAGGAGATAGTAGATGCAAATAGAGCTGAATGGGCTTCCTAAATCTGCCTTGGGGTGCTTTAGAACAGCCCATCTTCTGTTGTGTCACCTCTGCTTGACTCTCTTGCTATCATTAACAGAATAACAGAGCTGGAAGTGACCTGGAGGCCTTCTAGTCTGACCCCCTGCAACAAAGAGAAAGCCAAATCTTTCTTGCTTCAAGGAGAGTTTTGGAAGACAGGATAGAGAGTCGCTTGATAGTGAGAAGGGCAGCATATAAATTTAATCAACAAACAAATTCAATCAAAGTATATTCATGCCAGCCCTTACAATTCCTCTTCTGGGCTGATTAAATCTTGCATACAACCCAACACTCTTTCAGCCTTCTTTCTCTGACCTATGTTTCATAACAGTGGTACAGCATCATTTCTTATGGCATAAGAAGAAGGTCTCTCTTAAGCTAGGTTCAGCCTGTGGTTTCACAAACTCTTTAGTTTTTTCTTGCCAATGTTTAGGAGGTGGCTTGCCATGAATTTCTTGTAGGCTTTTTTTAAAAAAATACTTTTGAAGTTAGCATACAATCCTCTACTTCCTGTTGATCTTCCCTCCAAATACACTATAGTATAAGCCAGATGAGATTCCACTTAACTTTTTTGAAATTAGTCAAATTTGGCCTCATGCTGACACCTGCATGATTTTCACCAACGTGTAAAAATTTCTCAGATGGTATGTCTTGGGTGGATGATAACACTGGGAAGTTCACACATTTTTCCTGAAGTCTATATGAATCAGGTAATTTATGTGATTATTATCCTTTCAGGAGAAGAGGGGGTTGTCTAAACCTGTGTATGTTGCATGCCCCCAGGTTTTTTTTACTTTGTTAAATCCCTTAACAGATTATTTATAAGCATCTTTATTTAATCTATGCGTATTTGCATATTAATTAAACAATGGTTCTGAAGAATGTGTTTATGGATTACATATGATGTGCCAGTACATGTGATAGCAAGCACTATTTTGAGAAGAATATTTCTATGTGAGTGAAAAGGGGCAAAGCTGCTTAAAATCCTCAAGGGAAAAGAAAGTTGTTTTAAAAGAGCTCTAAATTAAAACAGTGCAGCGTAAGTAGCAATCAGCAAGTGAACAGGGTGAGCAAACAGCATTTCATCTAATTGTAAATAACATTGTTTACAAAATGTTTTGTGACAACATTTTATCAAGAGGATTGAGTAGGAGGAAGAGACAAGGAAGAAAGGTAAAACAAGAGCATCCTGAGAGGTTGGGTGGTCAGCTGCAGGTATGAAAAAGGTTACAGGACACTGTAACCGTCATAAATATGAGTCAATTGCCAAGCATCTGAATTTTGATCACGTGATCATAGGGATGCTCAAATAGTTGTAAGTGTGAAAATTGGTAATAAGTCACTTTTCTCAGTGCTGTGGTAACTTTGAACGGTCGCTAAGTGAACTGTTGTAAGTCGAGGACTGCCTGTATGGAATAAGGTAGCCAATTTCCAGTGAACAAATGAACAGTAAGAATTAATAAGTTTGTCGATAGAGTCCCTAACAACTTTTCCCTCTAAATGAGTAGTATGTATTAGCACATTGAGAGTCTGAGAAGGGAGACTCTCTGTACTATCTGTACTACGAGAAATAAAAAATGTCTGTTAATGGTGTTGAAGGAACAAAAGATGAATAGACAGAAATCTGTAGTCCTGACCTGAAATGTTCTTGATTAAGATAAAGTCAGAGAATTGGAACTGCTTCAGCAGATCAGCGCATATGCAGTTTTATCACATCAAAGAAAAGAGATGGTAAAAAACAGCTGACAAAGGGACAAATTCAGCGGATGAGTAGAGCAACTAAAAAGTAAGACGCAATTAGAAGAAATTTTGTACCAAAGGAATTGAGAGACAGCTTTGAAATGCCCACGAAAGAAACAGGCTCTGAACATTTATGGTGGGGGAAAAAAAAGACACAATGCTCAATAGGAGACAGAGAACAATTGTGGAAGCTGATGGCCAGCGACCAAAAAGAGCCAAAAGAAATGTATATTACCTCATGAATTGTGTTGTCTTCCAAGATTAGGGATTGTGGCTTTGAAAATTACTTTTTTTTTTTTTTTCCTGCTGATCCACTTAGGGACAAATAACATTGCAAAGTGTAGCTGCAGCTGTATCATTATGTACTCTAAAGAGATAGTAAGGAAGCTCAATGAAGATGACATCAGGTAAAGGACGCTGTATATAGAGAGTAGTTTGAGGAATGTGGGTGACTTGAAATAAGGATAATGAAAGAGGCGTGGTAAAAATAAAAATCTACAGAGGAAAGAAACAGGTTTTGATGGCCTTTGAAAGGCTAGAAGTTTGGAGTCCCTTTGTTTGATTCTTTTTCTTTGTCAGCTCTTTCGTAGTACTACCTTTTTCTGATCTGATAAATCTTCATATATTTTAATCTGCTGAAGGTGGACACACAACATTCCTTATTTAATGACAATGTGTTTAACAATTATTCAGACTTAACCATGACACTGATTGGTAGTTATAGCTGGACCTTGTACTTACAGCGGGCACAGTGTCCTTGCAGTCATGTGATTATGACCTGGGTGCTTGGTGTCCAGTTTGTAGTTATGATATTGTAATGTAGCATCTCATGGTCAGGTGATCCAAATTTGGACCTTTCCTGCTGGTTTTACTCAACAGGGAAGCTGGCAGAAAATTGGAAGTGATGATCAGGGAGGTCCTTGCTTAATGACTCTGTGCAGTTCTCGCTTAATGATGGTGACCAGGACTGCCATCACTAAGCAGTATGGTCACAATAGTTTTCAACTTATGATGGCTTTGCTTGACAATGGAGTTCCCAGTCCCAATTACTATTGGTAAGTGAATACTATCTTTACTAGTGGGTAGTGTTGGATCGGATGGAGTTCAGTGGAGAAAGAGGGGGGAGAACTGAATCTGATTAGGTTTAAAGCATGATGGCTGGGAGTTGAAATTAAGTTGAATTCTGGGAATTGAAGTCCACAAGTCTTAAAGTTGCCAAAGTCGGGTGCCCCAGCTTAAAGGAAAATAAGATATGTTGCTGTGCCAAGGTGGAAAGGATGAAGTTCTGGTTTTCAGAAGGGAGCAACAGTGGAGGCCGATGGCTTCTTGTGAAGTGGCTGCGAGGGGCTGAAGAGAGAATGTGTCACTTAGTTTTTAGTGATGGGTCTTGGAAGGAAGATGCAACCAGACCTCCCAATGTTTTAGCCTTTGAAAGCCATTGAGACTTGGCTTTTTTACTGAAGCACTGGAATAGGACTATATAGATAGATATAGGGAGTCCTTGACATTTGACCACAGTTGGGGCCAGAATTTCCATTCTTAAGCAAGACAGTTATGTGAGTTATAGCCAATTTTATGATTTTTTTTTGGGCGATAGTGGTTAAGTGAATCACTGCCATTGTTAAGTAAATAATCTGCCCGAGTGTGGTTGCCCTGACTGAGCTCACATAAAAGGCGTGTTACCACTTTCTACAGAGCATCCTGTCATACATCATTACAGTCTGGTTTGGAAGCATCACTGCTTCAGACAGGAAGACGGAAGACGGTGCAGAGAGTGGTGAGGATGGCAGAAAAGATTATTGGCAGTTCCCTCCCTTCCACCCCGGGCATAGCATATAAGTGTTGCTTGAGCAGGGTCCGCAAGATTGTCTGGGACACTACACATCCTGTTCACGACCTGTTTTCCTTGTTACTTTCCAGGAGGAGGCTTCGTGGTATCTGATGCAGAATGTCCAGATTCAGTCACAGTTTTCTTCTATATAGTGTTAACCTTGTGAACTCTAAAGCTTCCAAAAATTTTTCCACTATGTATTCAAAATGGACAGTGATTAATATTTATATGTTATTTATATGTAAGGGTGTAGGTTTATACATATGTTGTATATAGCATGTTTAAAGATGTGTTATGCATGTGTACACTTTTGAGAGCAAGCAACTAAATTTCATTTTTGATGTGTGCTGTTATGCCCACAATAAAAATGTGAATAAAGGTTTATCTATAAAGGTTATCTGTATTATAGTATGATGTGGGAACCTAGCTGCTGCTTGCTGTCTTTAACTTCAAATCATACAGTGCCTTCCTATGCATTTTTATTTTGAAATAAGTTACTACACATTGTGTTTAATGGGTTTTATTTCATGGTAACTGTGTTTTGCCTTATCTCCGATTTCACTTTTGTGTTTTGCCAGATGTTAATCCGAACTTCCACTGTCCTTTCTCTTTCCTGGTTTCTTCTTCTGTTTTGAACATAAGCTGGCCATCTGTGCCAGAAAAATGCTATCCTTTCATGTCCATGTTGCAAGCTGATCAGTATCTGAAGCAGCTACTGAAAAGAATGTGAGGAACACAAGTTGTGTTTATTGAAATGTTTTCGTGGGTTCTTGTTATAGCACTCAGCATTCCAGTGCATTCCAGCCAAGCCACTCTGCTGCTAGCTGAAGTGTCAAAAGGAGTAACTCTTGTAGTTTGCTGCCTGCTTGCTATTTCATTTAATTACTTCTGTTTGTGCACAGCTGGCCCAAGAAGGGGCTGAGAGAAAAAAAAACACATCAAAATGCCATTCCTTCCCATTCTGCTGTCCATAAAAAAACACTGTCTGAGTTAATCACTTCATCATTATTTTGCTGTAAAAAGACTGGCTTAAACAGTAATGTCTGTTTCCCCCCCCCCCTCTCTGTGTTTAATATGTATTGATTTGCATCTAAAAGTAAATGGGGCTTAATTTGGCATTTTTTTTGATGCAAGTTTAATTGCTGAAGGAAAGGTTGCATCTGTAAACGGGTGATATTACATCAAATGATGTGTGAAAAGATTGGTCACATCAGGAACTACACATTAAGCTTTCACATCTTTGTAGTAGTAATATTTTTCAGCCACAGCAGATTGTACATCCTTGGGGTCCACAGGAAATCCTTGAAACAGGGATGGCATTTTCTTTGTGGTTTTATTTTCTACACACAGATGTAACACTATAACCTTGAGCAAATGCATATTACGTGATCCTGAATGATTATATAACAATGTTCTTTCCTTCACTCCCTTATCTCCTAATAAGCATTTGTTGGTGACATCCTGATATTTGTCACATTTCGGTTACTATATGTCAGGGTTGGAGAGCCTGTATCCTTCCAGATGTTGCAGGATCCAATCTGGGTTGGTCACCTGGACCAGAGGTTTAGTCTTCTGAGTTGTTGGACTTATGCTGGAGCCCATCCTCAGGGAACCTCTCTCTAGCAGAGTGTGTGCTGAGACCTTTCCAGATGTTTTCAGAATGGGTCATGCTAGTTAGAGTTGTTGAAAGCTGACATTAAGCAACATCTGCAGGGTCACCAAGTCACCACCCCTGAGTTATTGGCAAAGTATGTGAGTTTAAGAAGGGACTACAAAAACATGCACACAGTTTTTCCAGTTTATGTAACCAGAACTGAATGCAGTCTGATTTGCCCACCAGCATGCCATTTGAAAAGGCTGTTGTAGCAATTGAGTGTCCACTCAGCCATTTATCTCATATACTGTGGGTCTGCAAGCAGTATGGCTATAATATAATTCCATTCCTCAGCAAACATTAATTGGGGAGAGGGGCATAGACTTTCTCTCACAATGACTTGAGTCATTCTTAAGTAAAATAATATATGCTTAACTGCTGCAGAAAAGTCTGAACTGAGGTTCTTCTTCCTTGGCAAGTCACAGAGTTGGAAACCAGTGTGAGTCACAATTAGTAGAAAAGGGTGTGGAAGGAAGGGAACAAAAAAAAAAACTGATAAAAGTGTTCTGATTTTTTTTATTTTTTTTTTTTTAGAGAGGAAGGGTTTACATGTTTTAAAAAACATTCTATTATACCAAAGCAGCCTATATACATATTTCCATCTATCTTGGCTAAAGTGATGTTACCCTATCAGTAACCAACTGTCGTTCTTATTCTGTATTTTATTTGTTTTTCAATTGTGGAAAACATGGAAGAGCAAAATCCTACCTGTTTTGTTCCCTTCATATAGATGGCTAGATTAAGCCTATTTCCTATGAGAAAATGGTTTGCATTTATTCATGGTTGTCTTTAATGCAAAGAATATATACACTCCCTTTTCCTGGGATTATCTGATTTTTTAAAACATGACTTCTCACCTCCTTTTCAAACACATTTTTGTTTTACATTCCCTTTGATTCCATCTGCTTGTAAAGTCAGGCTTACACACATATTTAGGTACAACTATCTATGTATCTAGATAGGTTAATAAATGTTCATTTTCAGCTGCTTTGGCATGAAAGACGATGTGCTCACTGTGAAAAAGCAGCAAGAATGATATTTCTACAGTAAATGCTAGTCTTTGGAGTACTCCTTTCTTCCTTTTTTAAAGTGCCATATTTGGGCCACAGTATCATTTTATTCACATTAAAGCAGCCAAAGAAGGCAGAAGTTGAAATACTTTCTTTAAACCATTTACAATTCCTGTTTTGTTATTCATTTAAACTGCATGTTATAGTAGAAAATAATTGAATTTTCTGGAGATCCAGAGCTAACTGATCAAAAGTGCTGCAAGATTCTTTAAAACTGGTGTGTGCTTGTATGTATGCACGCATGCTCCATAGATAGATAGCTATAGTGAAAAATGAACCAGGGTTAGATTCTAAAATAAGACTTGCAAGTGTACTAACATATACAGTATAACATAACAAAAATAAATCTCACCCTGGGTTTCTTGGTCATTTCCTTTGAATGGAGGATACTATTTGTGTTACCCTGGGCTTAACAAATGTAAGAAATAGTTCCTTCCTGGCTTTGTAACATAACTATGGAATTGTCCTTGATTTTTGTCTTGGTTTTTGTTTCTAGACTCCTCTTCCAGAGAGTGAATCAACTCTGGTGCCTGGGCACAACCTAAAGCAGGTAATAAACATGACATGTGTGCAAACAAAAAATATCAGCTATAATATAACAAAGCTCACTCATTCTTTGCGGTCTAGCACCACCATTTTGTAGATATCCTCTACAAAAGCTGTCCATTCCAGGCAGTTTTGGTAGTTGTAATGCCAACATCTCCAGAAGATTCCAAGTTTGGGAAGATGGACCTCTGTGATTCACTGTAACTGCACACAGTAACCAGCTCAGGCAGCAATGCATTTATGAATGGAATTTGTTCAGATCTGTATTCTGCTTTGAATTTGCTAATTTTGTGTTTGACCCATTCTTTCTGCCGACATATGCAGTCTAGGTAAACTATTCTAATTATTATGATAAGTTGGGCTTTTCAACCTTTTCACCCACTGTACCACTTTTAGGATATGGCAACATCCGAGCACCACCAGTCGCCTAGAAAGGTATTAAAAACTTGACGACAAAAAAAAAAAAAAAAGGAAAAAAGTGATAAAATACAGGTAGTCCTCGACTTACAACAGTTTGCTTAGTGACTGTTTGAAGTTACAATGGCACTGAAAAAAGTGCCCCCCAAGCCACAGCCAAGCAAGACATCTGCCTGCTCACCCAGTGGCACTCTTCCTCTTCCTGTCCGAGGTTTTCATTGTTGTGAGCATTTCTGTTGAGGATTGGCAGCAGGGGTGGGGTGGGGGTGTTGGTTTTTATTCCCCCCATCTGCTGGGTGGTTGCAACAGGTTTTGGTCACTTCACATGACCCTGGGACACTGTGACCATCATAAATATGAATCAGTTGCCAAGTATCTGAATGTAAATCATAAGAGATGCTGCAACATGCCAGCTGATTGGCGCTTCTTCTGGGCTCAGCAGAAGTACCAGGATCAGTGCTGCTTTCCAGCTGATTGGTGCTTCTTCTGGGCTCAGCAGAAGCACCAGGATCAGTGCCGAGCTCCAGCTGGAGCCTGGCTCTGATCCTGGTGTTTCCACTGAGCCCTGACAGCCCCGAAGAAGCGCTGATCCTGGCGCTTCCACTGAGCCCTGACAGTCCTGCAGCTCCAGCCATCTCTTGCTCAGGGTTGTGCGGTGCTGCCACTGGCTCAGCTCATTCCCCTCCCCCACTACCACTTTTCTAGGATGGTCGCGTACCACCTGCCAGGTGTCAATGTACCACAGGTGGTACCCGTACACTGGTTGAAAAGCCCTGTTATAGAGCACTGTGATCACAGGAATGTATTCAACTTTCAGATGTTTATTAATAAAGATATTTATTCATACTATAGGAGCTGGAGGCGCCTCATGTTCCTTACTGATTCTATTGACCACAAGAATGTAACATTTATATTTAGGGAGCCTAGTTGTTAATTTTTGATTGATGCTTTTGTTGTGAACATACAAGATTATGTTAATTCAGGCTGCACAGTTTTTGGATTCAAATTCAGAACAGGCATTTCAAAACATGGGAACACCCACATATCATCTGTTTGCATCTCCTGAAAACCTGCTTAAATCTTACATCAGAGTTTTTTAAAAAAATAATCAGAGCTCAAATGTATTTGTTTACAACTCTAGTTTTTCAGGAGATGCCAATAAATGCATTTGCGGTCGATCAGTTTAAAATATTTATATTTTTATAGGAATTATCTTTTTAAAGCAATCTAGTTTTAAAAATATTTTATCACCCACTTACTTCTATAGTTACTTATAAATGAATCCGTAAGATACCAGATATGGGACTACAGGTAGTCCTTGACTTAGGACCACAATAGTGATTGAAATTTCTGTCATAAGTTGTTGTAGTTATAAGTTGAGTCATACCAAAGTTTACAACAATTTTTATGGGAATTATTAAGCAAATGTCTGTAGTTGTTAAGTGAACCACATGATCATTAAGCAAATCCAGCTTCCCCAATGGGTATTTTTGCCACTTTTTGCCAGAAATGGCCAATTAGTCATTAATGCAAGCTAAAAGCCAAGCACCCAAATTGCAATCACTTACTGTGGGAGTGTTGTGATGGTTGCAAATGTGAGTACAGGTCATAAGTCACTTTTTCCAAGACTGTTGTAACTTTGAACCATAATTAAACAAATGGTGGCAAGCCAAGGACCACCTCCTATATCAATGGCTGCAAAGCATGATGGTTATGAAACACCATGTGAAGCAGAGGCAGTGTGAGTTGTAATACCATTTATTGGGTGATATGAATGGGAAGATGATATGTAGATAGGCCATCTCCATTGTGGGAGTAGAGTTCTAGAGCTTAAGGTTACTTTTCTCATTTTTTTAAAAAAATATTTTTACTGGTATAAAGATTACTGTTCTATATGTTCTATATAGTGCAATTGTTTCTGCTAATGCTTTGGCTAGAGATGACTTCTTAAAACATGGCCAGCAGCTCTGTCCTCTTCCCCCTCCCCCCATGCCCAAATTAATATTCACTGACAGTGAGTATCTGGAAGATGATGAGATCAAGTGCAGTAGCCTCTTTTACATTTTATTTTGCAGGCTTCCTCCAACAAAATTCAGCGGGCAGGAAGGCTCCTCTGCGCACATCTAGTAGTCATGCATCCAGATTTAATACGCGATCATAAGCATCACCTCCGGCTTCACAGGTACATACGAACGTGGGCCCCTGGGCCAAGGAATTAAAAGCAACTGGCACTTTGCTATTTGTGAGCTTCTGTTCCCTCCTCCCCCAAGGTAGAGGGGGATGGGGGAATAGGTACAGGTAGATGACATTGCCATTTCCCCTAAAGTATTATGAGTGCTATCACAAATAAAACATCCAGGGATGTGCTACACGAGAATAATGAGGCTTCTGAGTGTAGATTTGCACAAGGCTAGAACTCTTTCCTTGACAGTATTGTTTCCATTGAATTATCTGTTCCAGAAGAAAAACCTTGCAGAATCTCATACAATTGTTGCTTCAGCAATCATTAAGAAGCCACATTTATTTGCATTCATTTTTACCTGTACATACAGATTTGTGTTATCATATGGATATGTATGTATGAAAGTGCTTTTATATTACCTGCTCTCTGATCTCATGTGGATGTCAGGTAATGAACCCTGAATTATTTAAATTCCATTGATTAGAGCAGGGGTCCCTGTGGATCAGTACCAGGCCACAGCATGCCAGCAACCAGTCTATGGGACGCAGGCAGCACACAAAACCACACACTCTCCGGTCCATGGAAAAAACTTTCTCCATGGAACTGGGCCCTGGTGTCCCAAAGGTTGGGGACCTCTGGATTAGAGTTCCCTTGATTAGAGATTAAATGAAATTAGAATTTTACGTTTTCAAGATATCTAACTTGTTGGACTTTTTGGGAATGTGAGGTAAGGTGATGCCTGCAGAATTCTGGGAGTTGAAGTCCATGCATCTTAAAAATCTCAAGGTTGAGAAACCCTGAAATAACATGACACAATATGTTTTTATACTTCCATTCCTGGTAAAGCCAAATCTTTATAATTATAAGATACTTCTTCCATAATGGATACTTCTAGGAAACCTATGGCTTAATGCAAGAAGTCTTCTTCTCCTGTCACTCCCCAGCATGCTGCCTCTGATCTGGGAGGTCACAAACTACAGCTTTTGGCAACTTATGGGAGCAAATTTCTTAGTCAAATGATGTCTGGAATTCTTCTATGGAACCTAACCAGGAAGTTTCAGTAACACACCTGTTTTCCATCCTCAACAATGGATGAAAGGAGATAGTAGCATCAGTAGCAAACCATGTCGATCTCTTTAAAATGGAGGGATATGAAGCTATGTACAAACACAAGTACAACTCGGCCCAAAGAACTCCCATGAGACCAAGATTTCTTTAATAAGGCGATCCCTGCATTTTCCAAACATTTGTTTAGTGGTCCATGATTGCAGAAAATGTGAGAAACATTGACCTGAAGCTTTATCAGAGAACAATACCACCTGGAATTTGAAGCATGCCCTCTTAGTTATCTTGATCTCAAAAGCACTTGGAAATCACAGTTGTTTTGTGTTTCTTTCAGGCAGTGTTGTTCTGGGAAGGAATTGGTAGATGCACTCCTTAGTGCAGGTCTTTCAGTGCAGACCCGCAGCCAGGCCCTTGGGCTTTGTCAAGTATTGATGGATGAAGGAGTACTAGCTCATGGTAAGGGTCAATCTGTGTGAGAAAAAAATACGGCAGCAGTTTGCAAAATACTCTTATCTGCATTGTTTTTAGCTAAAGTTCTGTTCTTTGGTTCTCTCAACGATTTTTTAAAAACAATCTAATGATATTTGTTGGGAATGTAGTATACTCACCCTTCATGCTCAGAGTTTACTTTTAATCAGTATTTCAGATTTTAAAAAAACTTTGGTTTATGCCCCCTAGCCTCAATACAATTCCTAGTATAATAAATAAATAAAGAAACAAATAAATAAATGAATAACTTTTTTAGAGGCAGACCTCAACGTACAACCACAAGTCAGCCCCAAATTTCTGCTTCTAAGTGAGACAGTTGTTAAGTGAAAATTTTGCCCCATTTTACAACCTTTATTTTGCCACAGTTGTTAAGTGAATCACTGCAGTTGTTAATGTTAGTCATACGATTGTTAAATGAATCTGGCCTCCCCATTGACTTTGCTTGTCATAAGGTTGCAAAAATTGATCACGTGACCCTGGGGCACTGCAACCGTCATAAATGTGAGTCAGTTGCCATGATGGTTGTAAGTGTGAAAAACAATCATAAGTCACTTTTTTCAGTGCCATTGTAACTTTGAGCTATCACTAAACAACTGTTGTAAGACAGGGACTACCTTATTGTATTTTAAATTAATAAGAAAAAACAGAACAATAGTGTTAGTGATGCATACATTGTCAAAGAGAAAAAAAAACATAAAAAGGGTTGTAACAAAAAAGTGAAAAAAAAATAGAACAAAAAGGAATATATGTCTTTTATAACCATAAACGGTGACAATTTTTTATTTTTGTTTCACAAACACTGGCATAGTAACATGATGTTAAGAAATAAAAGAACGTTGTCTGCAAATAAAACCAATTCATGCTCAAGTGTTATGTACTACTATGTATATCTCTCTATGTTAGCATCCCACGTCGAAAGGGTTCCCACACAGATATTAAAAAGCGTGGGTGAAAATGGGCATTCTGATCTGGTTTGTCCTGCATAGTGGAAAAGTAGGAGAAAACATGCCATTAACCTTTAGGTATAAGGAATTCATATACTGTCTTAATCCATTTTGTGATTTCCAAAGGAAATCCAAACCTATCCAATGCAGTGAACATGGACTTTTTATGCCTTCTTTCTTCCTTCTTTGGAGAAATTGGTCTATTTGGTTTCTACTCCTTGTTTTCTCTAGCTAGGGAGATGTTAAATATATATTTGTAAAGCAAACAAATAACAAAGTATCTCTGAGTGTGATCCAACAACACATGATGTACCAATTTTCCTGAAGCTAAGCAGATGTAGTCCATCAGTTCCTGGGATAGAAGACCCATAGGATATCCTGGGTCTGCGATTTTTCTGTGGAAGAAAGGTAGGTACAAAATGGAATCAGATTTGTAAATGAGGTCTCAGAGCAGTGTTTTTCAACCATGGGGACTGTAAAAATGTGTGTAGGCTTCAACTCCCAGAATTCCACAGCCAGCATGCTTTAAAAGTCCCCAAGGTTGAAAAACACTTCCTCAGAATCTTTGCTTTTGTGAGAAATTATGTGACTGGTTGGTTGGTCTGGCAGTGAGGTCACAGAGCCAGTTAGATATCTCACTGTGACATCAGTCTCTTCCCTACTGAGACTAAGTAAAGGATACTTGCTGGTCATCACCCAGCAGTTTTTTTTTCTCATCTGCCTGAAGGAAGCCTGCTTTGATCTTCTTTTGAGGTAGGCTTTGATTCCTCTACAATATATAAGAAGAGCATTCAGCTGTTTGCACAGGTCTTTCTCAGTCCAGGCTTAAATGTTCTTTTGCCCACTGATCCTTTAAACCCCCCCCCCCACCATTGCCCAGTTCAGGTTAGATTTATAAATGGGGCAGTGTTGCCCAAATCTCCTTTCCAGATCAAACATGTCTTCCTACCGTTGGTTTCCCGGAAACCATAATTTGATTCCTCTTCTCTATCTTGACTGCCAGTTCCAGAGATAAAGCAAAACTATGAAACATAGGCTTGTGCAATAATTTGCATTTAAAAGAGAAAAGGTACCTTGGCAATCCCTTGGCAATCCTTTGAAGAAGCTGTGCAAGTCTCATTCATGCATCTACAACAATGTGCTCTCCCCTTGTGGAAAAAATATCCATAGAAAAGCATCTGCCCTCAGCTTATTCTTTCTCTGTGTGTGTGGGTTTGTATGTGTATGACTTTAATTACAGCAATAAAAATTAATACAAACCAAATTCAGAAAGAAAAGGGAAAGTAAAGAGACAGAAAAAACTAAGAGAAGAAAGAAAAGAAAAAAGAAAATATATATATAAAGACATCCAATCTTCTTCACAAGTATAAACAAATTTGAAAGCTCTTCACTCCGTGTAAGGTTACAGACAGATATCTTTTCTTCCCATAAGCCATTGCTTATCTATAAGCAAATCCATAAGACATCAACTTTTCAGCCCTGATGTCAGCAAAAAAATCTGTAAAGGGCTGCCAGAATTTTACAAAACGTCTTTTTTTAACCTTGATTCATATTGCTTCCTTTTATTTCTGAAAATCATAATCTTTAGTGTTTTCAAATATTGTTGTGGGATTTTATCTCTCTTCAGTTCTTCTTTGTCCCTTTGCAAGGGCTTCTTTGAGGCTTTAAAAATCCTCTTTGGTAAATCCAATAAAAAGACATTATTCAGATCATTGTCTTGATTTATCATTTGCATTTTTAATTTTTAAAACTTCATCCAGCTTCTTTTGTACAGTATATCCAGTAAAGAGTCCCTATCTGTGTCATTCTCTTGTCCTGTCACTTTTCTGTCCACTTTAAATATTTTCTCTATCTTGCAATCTGCACTTTTATCCAATATTTTAGATTCCACTGTTGTTACAGTACATCAAGCAAGGTTATTTTCACATCTGCCATTCCTTCATTTACAGCCTTTAAACCTACTTTATCCACTGAAGCAGACAACATTACTGATATTATTGATATTGTGGCTACTAATTTCTGAGTCATTCTTCAATCTTCTTTAATATTTCAAATGTTATTAGTGTTTTATTTTGTAAATCCCAATCCTAATCAAAACCAAAAGCAAGGGTCCCCCCCCCCTTTTGCCTGGAATTTTTAGTCCTGTCTAAGCATTCAATTTAATTCAATTCACAAGGTCTCTAAATCTATTATGACTTAACAATAGACAAAATAATTCTGGTTCTCATGAACACTGTTTATTTTATATAGTTAGTTCTAAAATTTTATAGTAAAAGTTTTGGTATTCTGAATTTTTTGGATTCTTAAATTGTTTATAACTTTCTTGGCTCAAAATCTTACTTAGCTTTTTGCTGTTTATCTCATATTCTTTTAAGTTCTTAAACTTATGGTTAATTTTTCTTTTGTTCAGAAATGAAGATAAACTCACGGTGTGGTTTTTCAATCTGGTCATTCAAAAGATATCTAATAGCCTTAAGATAATTAAGTAGGCAATCTCTGAAACTTATTAGAAGTGAGGTTAGCAAGCCCAGTGCCTTTTAAAAAGCTCTGCTGTGGTTGTGAGCTTGATGATTGATGCCTTTGTATCCTGGCACTTAGACTCATGGGAGACCGCTGTCCTGCAGTCTCCTCACGAGCAGCTATCCAAAGCACATGTGAGTGATCTCCCATCCTCATCTTATCTGAAGAGCTTTGGAAAAGCTAGTCTAGTCATTGGTACTTCAATCTATTTTGTGGTAATCTTCTCTAGTCTCCCGGAGACATATTTAGATCTCTATGCCTCCACTGGAAGTCCTTTCCACAGCCTTCCTTTCATTGTACTGCTGTAACAAAGCTGGTAGTGTTGCTGCTGTTTCAGAAAGCAACTCAGGTTCTTTTTGAATCTGAAATTGGTTTTTCCTAGGCCTGGGAAAAGACCGTTCCATTTGTAGAAATCTCACACTGCATATGATAACTGTGTTTTTTTCTTTATTGATTTTGAAAGAGTTCATTGGCATTGGCAAAAAACCCAACAGAAGGGTTTTAATTTGGTCCTATTGTAGCTTTTTCTATTTCATGCCATGTATTTCTTATGTGTGGTACTGGACCCATCTTCTGGACCCAAGCCTTGATTAATGCCTCTTTTCTGGAGAGGGTGTTCCACCTGCTTTGAGGGAGACAGTAGTTTGTACCTTCTTAAGAGGCCATCCTTGGACCCAATAATTATGACAGCTCTTGTTAATGCTGCAACCTTCCCTTTTCAAGAAAGACTGGCAGACCCAGGATTATCTGGACTCTTCAGTTAGGGTTCAGGCTGGGTTATGGTACCAAGATGGCATTGGCCACACTGGCTGATGACTTCTGGAAGCCCATGATGGGAGTGGTAGATCTGTCCTGGCCCTCCTTTTAATTCTTGATGGCTTTGATACCATTGAGTATGATGTCCTTCTGGAAATATTTTGAGGTGATTTCCCCTTCCTCGGATACTGTTCCAGTCAGTATTGGTCATGATGGTGGAGAGATCTAACCCCAGTCCCCTCCTGTATTTGTGGTCTCAGAGTTCAAGTTTCTCACTGCTCCTTTTTAATATTGAATGAAACTCTTGGATGTGGTTATTCAGTGGCATAGAGTGCATTTTGCTGGTGATACTCGAATGTATATTTACATTCCAGCTGTTCATATGTTGTTTCAGTGCTTGGAGGCTGTGACAATATTGTGGGGGATGGAGGAGGGAGAATTCAACCCTAGCAAGATGGAATCCCTTTGGCTTTTTCACCCTCTTTGAACTGGTGAGGTGTCATTTCTGAGTCTCAATGAAGTAGACTTCCCCACATACAGCTGGTTCACAATTTGGGAGTTCTCCTGGACTTGTAGTTTTTGCTTGAGAAGTAGGTGGGGATCTTTGGACAAATTACTCTTGTGTGCCAATTATACCCTTTCCTGGACCAGGGGCTCTGCTCCCTATCATACATGACTTGGTTACTGCAGCAGAGTCTACTGATAAACTGGAAGAGCTTGGACCAGCTGCAGCCTGGGTTAGGAGTGGGGGGCCTGTAAGATGAAGCCAGTGCCCTGTCCTCAGAAACAGATAAATAGAATTGTTCATGCTAGAATAAGGAGGCTGTGTGGATGAGTCTTAATTCTTTCCCTGGGCACTTTTGTCCACATATACCCCAAAGGATCTTTTCTTCTGTAAATCCTGATCATTTACATTACCCTTAGTAAGAGGTCATGAGATGGTAAAATGGTGGAATATCTTCCTTGCAATCTTAGGGGTGGAATCAAACCATTTCTTGACTTTATCCTCCTTATTTCCTCCTTTATGCCCTGGAATCACCTTCCTTTGTCCATGCAGTACGACAGGAGAGCTACTTTCAAGATCGAGATGCTCAGTTCTTCCGATTTGTGGCGTTGGAACCAAGTGCTGAACACAGAGATGGAGAGGAGCTACTGGAGGCGTTGGCATTGCTGACCCAACTGGGCCCAACGGCATTGCTCACCACCATCCTACGCAAACCGTAAGCATTGAGCCAGGTGGCGGAGAGGAAAAAATGAGAAAATGTCAAGAAGTTAGTGCATGGATCATAGTTCTATCCAGTGGGGAATAATGATTGTTTGATTCACTGTATTTAATGCATACAGAATTAAAGAAGCTTCTGTAGCTTCTATTCCAGAAAAAATGGACTAAAGACACTGAGGATTGAATTGGAATCCCTCTGCAGGTGAAGCAAAGACTTTGCCACAGTGGTCCCTTATAAAACCGTGTGCCTATGTATATATTTTTGTACATATATTTAAATTGGCAAAAAACATCACAAGAAGTACGGTTCTGGCAACCATGCCAGAAACTAAGAAGCTGCTGGACCCCAAGAAGATCTAATTTTCTATCCCTTTAAAAGAGTCTAATGGACAAATTTTGGAAGCTCTTTCTGTGCCTTAGTACAATATAGAGTATAAGAATAATGTCTTGCTGTTTTAACAAGGAATTTATGGTCCTCAATACCTGGATCTGGATAATGGACCTAATATTTGTGTGGAAGCCAGGAATGACTGAGAAGGCTAAAAGGGGCTGTCAAAAATGAAGCATGTATATTTTGAACAGATCTTTGTCCTTCCTGAGGAGAGGGAAGGATTACACACAGCTATGAATGCAGTCTTATGGGCTTAAGATGTTTTCGTATGCATAGATCTGAGATCAGCAATATAATGTCAGTTGATGGGAGAATTTGGGATATCTTGTGCTTCATTTTGGTCTTTCTCCTCCAGTCCTAACCAGCGCACAGATGAGGAACTTGCACTGATCTTTGAGGAGTTACTGCATGTCAAAGCTGTAGCCCATCTCTCCAGTTCGGTAAGCGACTAACAGATTCTGTCTCATTTGGCCTAACTTTAATTTCTTACAAATATGCTGTGAATAACAAATAGAAAGGAATCAGTTTGCTTTTATCATCTTGTCCTTCATATGGTTGAAAGAGGAAAGGATTGCTCTTTTGCTGCTTCTCTGTCAACTTGATTGGATGCCAGTTTTATTTCTCTTTATAACCCAGCCATCATACCGTTCTATTGCAGCGCCCACATTTTTTTCCCAGAATGCCATGAAATCGCACAAGTCTGCAGCTTTCTAGTTTTTAATTTATTTTTATTATTAGATGGTTTAAATCCTACCTTTATTATAGGTAGTCCTTGATTTATGACAGGTCACTTACCAACCATTAGAAGTTACGAGGTCTTGAAAATGTTATTTGTGGCCTGTCCTCAAACTTATGACTGCCGTGCCACCCTGCAGTCATGCAATCATATTTTGGGCACTTGACAGCTGGCTCAAATTGTGTCCATGCAACCATGTGATTTGCTTAACAACTGTAAGCAAGATCCTGAAGATCATAAAAATGATTGTAAACCATAATATCGAGTCCAGTCACTTGGTGAGCAGACTTACAAGTGCAACAACTTATGAGCAAAATTCTGGATTCAGTTGAGGTCTTAAGTCAAGAACTTCCTGTACTTCTATAAGTAATTCAAGGAGGCAAACATACGTAATGCTCCTTCCTCCTCTTATCTTCCCCCAAACAACAATCCTGTGAGGTACGTAGGAAAACAAAATGGCAGCTACTCTCCTACTTCTACTGCAAATGTAAGTAATAAATACGAATATGTCTACTTATAAATGAAGTTTTTAGTAACAAAACAGCTAGGACAACATATTTTTCTGGCACTCTTCCCCCGAATATACCTTTTTACATGAATTTCCCAGTCTGTCTATGTATCTGTGTAATTAACTGTCAGTCATTCCAAATGCATCCAATCCAGCAGTTAGAACTGGATTCATTTCTACTTTCCTTGACACTCTCCTTAAATTTTTGGGCTATGCATAAAACATACTCCCTACAATAGGGTTGGGTGGGCAGTGTTCCTGTTCAGCTTTACTATCCTGCAATATTTCACTGTCCTGTCCATATGCCCTGAATGTCTACTGATTAGACTTAATGGAAAAAATGAAATCATGTTAAGTACTGGCACTACTGCATTTTCCTATTTGCTTGTTTGCCATTTCCCCATTCAGGTTGCCAAAGTACACTGTGCAATTTACATGTTGACTTAAGAAAACAAACCCTTGGTTGATTGCGTTGAGATTTCTCGGGTGAAGTGCTTCATATTGTAGATGTTTGTGGATGACAAGACAGGAAGGAACTATGGCATAATGCAGAGGTGCAGCAGTCCAGAGATCCAAACAAACAGGATGTAACTGGCACAACTGACACATTGCAAAGCTACGGGAAATTTAGAACCAGGCACCTACAGTAATCGGTGCTTTGTTGCTATGAATCCCTTTTCTGCTTTCCTTTCCTAAGGCATCTGTGGATGCCAACAGTATTTTACAGCCAAATGTTATATTTTTAAAATTGGAGACCAACAATTACTTGCATATTTCTCTTTCCCAGTGAGCTTTGGGGAATTTTGTGTTGTGAACTAATTCAACTTCCGTTGAATTTGCACCTCTTCCAATGCCCAACATCCCATCTAAGGTTGATCCTTGATACAAATATGAGTTACACCCCATTTATACACCTGTTTTTCCTTCCTTCCTTCCTTCCTTCCTTCCTTCCTTCCTTCCTTCCTTCCTTCCTTCCTTCCTTCCTTCCTTCCTTCCTTCCTTCCTTCCTTCCTCTTTTCCTTGAAGAAGGCTTGGAAATAAAAGCTGGCACCTATTTTGTAAATCTTCAGTTGACCTCAATACATTTGCTCAGTATGGATTGAGTTCAGAAATGTAAGGGCTTAGCTTAAATGCTGTCTTATGCCACATGCTGACTTCAGTTACCAACTGTTGCTTTCTGAAACGTGTAATAGCTCAGTGAAACATGTTACTGGGCCTACTCACTAACTGTTTCTCCCTTGCAGGTAAGGAGAGAGTTGGCTGCCGTACTGCTTTTTGAGTCCCATGCCAAGGCTGGAACTGTGTGTGAGTCACATTTTTTTGTCACTTTGGCAACACTCTTTTTGTCTCTAACAGTGTCCCTCCTGTATCCCATATTGCTACTTTATGCAGCCATAGGCTGACAGGTGTGACCATTGTGAGTTGGCATCTTGGAAATGATATGCATTTTTATGCCTGCCACTTGCAGTATCACAACTTATGCCAACCATTGTAAAAAGGAACAACGATGGCATTCAACAAACGTCTGTTCTGTGAAATCAGGGAGGAAAGCTGTCAGTGGTACTGTTCATTTTTCTCTCTTTAAAGTCGGTGTATTCCTTTTAAAAGGTTCCTAGTTAGGTCTTTTCTTCATAACTCCAGCTCAAGGTCTCCATTTCTTCTTCTGTTAATTTATTTCTAAAAATGTTCATTTGTAACTGCACTGTAATTGCCTGGGCTGAAATTTTCCTGTAACTTAAGTCTTTTTTTCCCTCCCCCTTCCACAGTGTTCAGCCAAGGGGACAAGGGCACGTCCTGGTACATCATTTGGAAGGGATCAGTCAATGTTGTTACACATGATAAGGTGTGAACTTTTAATCTCTTTAGGAATCAAAAGGCTGGTTTCAGAATAAGACCAAGAATTCTAGGCATTTAGATACCAGAACTTTTATTTCTTTCAACGTTTCTAGTCCTTGGATTTATGCTTTAGATGTTAGAGTTGCTTGTATTTGTAATTAATTAATGCTTAGATTTACAGCTGTTACCAATTTTTCCTTTGTCATGTTCCCACTCTTCCTTGTTACATAATAACTCACCTTTCAATAACCCAGGCATTTTTCAGCTGTCTGGGTTCCAACTCCCCAAATTATCAGCAATATTCATGTTGACTGGGGAAAGTCTGGAGTCAAAATTTACCTTTCTGTAAGGTTCCCATATAGGTGAGGCTAATTTAAACATCTATAATTCTCCTAGGTACCACCTCATCCCTTCCTAATTCATAAATCCCTGAAATAATATAAATGTCAATAAAATTCTGTGTTCCAAAATTTCCCCTCCATCCCTGGACAATTTTAGTGCTAAAATATGTCCACATGAATGAATTTTCCCATTGCAAATCAGCTTCCCATTCCCTTATGTTTACATACAAACGTATGTGTCTATACATAGAGAAAAGGAGTAGGGCACAAAGGTAAGGTGGGGAAGCGGTATGGCCTTTTGTCTGGTGTGCTCACTTCCTATGTATGTTTATATTACTTATCATAAAATGGTGTCACGGTGTACAGCAGCCATATAATAGAAAATAAATATATCTAAGAGGTTAAAGTAGGGTGGAACACCATGTTGCTGAATAAAAAGTTTACCACCTCATGTAAGACATCCTGGGGTTGTGCCTTTGCAAGGCAAAATTAATATAGCTGTGTGTACTTAACCTTCTCTCCTTACAACAGTTGTCCTTAAAACCTTTCTTCCTAGGCTGTGTTTAATCTGGTTAAGTTAGAAACAAGGTACAGAAGAACAAATGTGTGGTTTTAGTAGTCAACTGATCTCAGTAGGACAGCTCATGTTTGCCAAGGTGGTATCTAGACTTTGTGAATAAAATAATTGGTTCTCTCACTCGTTTTGCAGGGCTTAGTGTGCACCCTACATGAAGGTGATGACTTTGGCCAGCTGGCACTCGTGAACGATGCCCCCCGTGCTGCCACCATCATCCTTCGTGAGGACAGTTGCCACTTCTTGCGAGTGGACAAAAGGGATTTCAACCGGATTCTCAAGGTAGGCATGGAAATACATCATGCTGGAGACTGAAGCTGTTGTGTTTGGGAGACAGATTTGCAACATTAAATATACTTTTGATTGGTAGAAGGAAGCTTATCTCTTGTACAAGGAAGTTGAGAACACTGAAGGATGGAGAGGAAGTTATATAAATAAAGTTCATAGTCTACTTCAAATGTAAGCCATGAAGTGCTTAGACCCTTGTCTGTCTTCCATTATTTGGGTTTCCAAATTGTTCCTCATGGTTGTATCTTTTCCAGAACCCAGTTACCTTTCTCTTGACTTCAACTCCCCTGCCCTTAATTTATTCTATTTTAACTTATTTATTCCTAGCTAGAGTGGCAATATGTGGCTTTTCAGAATGATGGTGAATGCAAATTCCCATGTTTAATGACCCAAACTACTGTAATCAAGAACTGGAAAACCACACATTGCACAATTGTCTGCATTATTGCCTCTCTTGGTATTGTTCTAATGCAAATTGTATTATGCCACTGCTTCTGCTACCTCTGATATATGTTAATAAGAATCAATTGGAATATTAGAGCAATGATGCAGAGTCCTAAATGGAGGATGAATAGGTATTGTAGATTTTTTCCCCCAACAGTTGCCAGTCTTGATCACACTAGTTAACCAGCTTCCTTGCGGTATTTAACTGCATATTGCAGATTTCATGCAAAGAAAAATGCTAAGAGTGTCTATGATTAAAAATATGCTTCCCTGCTTTGATATTTTAAATTAATCTATCTGGATGTTGTGCCTTATGCCAGCATTGTGACAAAGTAGTGGGGCTGCCCAGGATTAGCATAGGGATGTCAAATCTAATAAAGAATTCAGAAATGGAATTATTTCTTTTCTTTTTTTGGCTAGTGTCTGATGATGTAAGCCAGCCCATAATCATTTGCTTTTCTTCCTAGGATGTCGAAGCTAACACCCTACGGCTAAAGGAACACGGGAAAGTGGTTCTTGTTTTAGAGAAGAATTCACAAGGGACTAATTCCGGTCACCTTGCTGGGACTCCGGGGAGCAGTAGGTACAGCAATCTGCCCCCCTTCATTTCCCTGCTCCCTCCTCTACATTTGCCTCCTCATTTCCCCTCCCCCTTTTTCCTTTGATAGAATAGGGAATAATCCCTTGCAGACAATCTTTTCTCCCCCACCCCATATATTTTACGGGGAAGTCACTAATTCCTTGTGAATGTGGTGCTTCCATCTCTTTGTTTCAGTAAGGTGCAAGTTGCCTTGTTGTTAAACTACATGCTGATTTCGCTTATGTGTGCACTGCTTTGGATGTATACAAGGGTGGGATCTGTGCAGGTAGTTCTCAACTTACTACCACAATTGAGCCCAAAATTTTTGTTGCTAAGCGAGACAGTTGTTAAGTGAGTTTTGCCCCATTTTAAGACCTTTCTTGCCACAGTTGTTAAGTGAATCAACTTCAGTTGTTAAATAACACGGTTGCTAGTAACACGTTTGTAAAGTGACTCTGGCTTCCTACCTTGACTTTGTTTGTCAGAAATGGGATCACATGACCCTGAAATGCTAAACCTGCATAAATATGAACCCATTGCCAGGCATCTGAATTTTGATCACATGACCATGGGGATGCTGCAATGGTTGTAAGTGTGAAAAACGGTCATAAGTCACTTTTTTCGGTGCCGTTATAACTTCGAACAGTCACTAAACGAATGGTTGTAAGTCAAGGACTACCTGTACTTATTTATTTATTATGTTTGTTTGCTGCCCATCTCACCACAAGGCGACTTACTGCTTATTTACTGCTTACAGGCTGGTATAGATGATTACAGTAATCATATGGAACTAATGTGAGGAAAACCATCATGGCGACATATGCAACCAAACTGTGGGTTCTTAAATGTGTCCAAGAAGGGCTTCCAAACTTGATGAGTTGCAGCTGTTTGGTAGATGTTAGCTAGGTCTCTAGATATCTGTTTCCATGATATACTTGCTACTTTGGATACCAATAATTTGTTCTTTTCTTCAGATATTCAGTAATGGCTGGGACCCCTGAAAAAATACTTGATTACCTATTGGAAACCATGCGTTCAGACTCTACGCTTTCTGATCCTGTTGGTGAGTATAAAATAGTTTGCATAAAGGAAAACCTCCAGAACAATTGTTGTTCTATAAGCCAATACAGTGTGAAGTTGAGGATTGTGGGCAGCTAATTTGTCCAGAGCAGAACTGAGAATTGTATTCTGGGGATGATTACAAATTAAAGTTTCCTAAGGCAGATATATGCAACCCAAAGATGCACAAAATCATAAAGCTCCTTCAAATATTGCGATGAATGGTCACTTCCACTGTATTACAAAAGGAAGATTCCTGGAGACTTAACTTAATTATTTAACTTAAATAATTTTAATGGTTGAACTGGCCCCACCCACTTTTCTTCCTGAACCCAGATGTAGTCGGATATGATCTCTGTCATTTCCCTTCTCCAGGAAGTCACTCACAGGCCAAGAATAGCATTCCTGTTCCAGTTCGGCCAATTAAAAGACACTGTGCAGCTCTGCTATATATTTTTTTTCTTAAGGGCCTTTGTCGAAAGAAACAAGATGAAAAAGATATGGGAAAATAACCATGCTATCTATGCTCCCAATTAAAAAAAAACTATCTGTTTAGGGTTCATACCTTGCCTGGAAGGACTCCCAGCCCTAACCATGTAGATGGTTTTTAAACAGGAATCCTTGGACTTTATTTTAATAGAAGGGAGCTTGCTACTTGTTCATCCCTTTGGTTTAGTGGCATGTGGTTATTCTTATATTGGAATATGTATGGAGTGTCAAAGCAGAAGAGAGCAAATGGAAATCTTCTATGTTAGTAGGCAGTAAATTAGAGCACCATCTAGCCCGAAAGTCATATTTCACAATGGCTTTTTTCTTCTTTGCAGATACATTTCTGGGAGATTTTCTCCTAACGTACAGTGTGTTCATGCCGACTCCACAGCTGTGCCGAACTCTGCTCCAACAATATCCTTCTTGGTTGCCTCTGCCTTGGATCATAGATGGAGAAGGCTAGTCAGCAAAAGGCTTTCTTTGGAGGGAGACTGCACTGGATTGTTTTAGCCAAATTCCCTCCGTGCATCTTCTTTGTTCTAGATTGTTGCAGTGCAATGGAGGGAAGAGACAGCACTTCTGGAGGGCCAGAATTGGCCCAAAGTCTGTTAAAATCTTAACTTTATGCTAGGGAAATGTTCCTCAACTAAATGCCCCCAGATGTATCAAATTATAATCCTCATTGTTCTCTCTCTATTGGAATTCTAGAAGCCACACAGGCATGTTATAGCAAAATATAGAAATGGGGTTTGCTGTTTTTTGTTTTTAAATTCTCCCCAGAAACATCGTATCAGTCCCCCTTTATACTGTGTTTCTGAATCCCAATCAAGTTTGATATACAGTAACAGGAAAATCATACATACCTGTATACACACAGATATATATCGACTTCCAATATGTTTTTTTTCCCTTTAAGTCTCCTTTCTCTAACTTTTCCATGCTGTAAGCATTGATAGTTATGAGATCCATATAGGTTGCAAAATTTTGCATTCGGATGAGGAGTGGGGGTGAGGACACACAACAACTTTAAGATGAAGTCTCAGTCAAGCTGTCTATTATCAATCTTCTCCAATGCATCATCTCCCAGGTGTACTGAACTGCAACCCTCAGTTTTCCATGTGGAGGCAGTAGATGGAGAAGCTTTGTCTAGAGTCCATGGAGGGGCTGGTCAGCTTAGGATGGAGCCCAGCAACTCAGAGGCCCACTGTTGACTCTTGCCTGCATCTGGCTACTGCCACATTTAGAATATAGCCAACAACATTTGATGGCAGGCTATACAATACCCCCTCAGTGTTTTTAACCTCATATCACACTGGACATTATAGATGAGTTAAAATGCCAGCTACATATTCTTTTTGAAACCTGCTACTCTCAGATACTACTGCCAAGAGAAGCTAAGCCTCACCCAAAAACAAAACTCCCACCCTTAGAACATGTATGTCAGGGGTCTCCAACCCCTGTCCGTGGACCAGCACTGGGCTGTGGCATGCCAGAAACTGGGTCGCACAAACAAGTGAAGCCTCATCTGTACGATGCAGGCAACATGCAAAACCATGCCCTCTCCGGTTTGTGGAAAAACCTCACTCCACAGAACTGGTCCCTGGTGTCCAAAAGGATGTGGGCCACTGCTGTATGGGGTCTGTTTCATCATCCTGGGCCTGTACCTCCTTGACTTACATTCACCTTCCATTCGGAACCTTCGGAGGGCTCGGAGCAGGACAAAGCTGCTTATATCCTGGGGAAAAGGCAAAAGATCCTGTGGTTGGTCAACCAGTGGATGTCTCTGTATGGACGGCTGCTGCAAGCAGAGGCCTGTGCTGTGGCCTTTTTGCAGGTAAGGGGAGATTGGTGAGGACCCAGGGCACAAAATTGTCTTTAGGGAGCAACAGACGGGGCAATAGAATCAATTGTTTTACAAAATTGTTCTACAAAAAAAGACATAAAAATTGAGGGGGATGGGAGGTTCAAAAAATAAATGAATTGGTGTGGCTCAGGAGGCATTTTTTGCCTGGATACCTATGAAATATGCACCTTTGTTTTCCCTCTGAGCTTCATATGTGATGGTGGTGATAGTGATATAGTATTATTATGGTTTGTGGCATAGACAGCCAGATGCTTAGATTGGATTTGGCATGTTTGTTCACTTATCGAGTCTTTCCCAAGGACCTGAGATAGACAGATGTAGGAATTTTGATGGTATTAAAAATATTGTCACAGGATATAGTCAGTTCCAAGTAAGGCTGCCTTTGGCAATTGACTGCTGGTGATTTTGTCAATGGTAGTGGTGTTCAAGTGATGCTCCAGTTGTTTTGGGATATTATTATTGTTATTATTATTACTACTACTACTACTACTACTACTACTACTACTACTACTACTATTATTATTATTATTATTATTGTTATTATTATTGATCATCGCACAGTCAGCCAGATGTTCAGACTGGATTTGGCATTTTGTCTACCTATCGAGTCCTTACCCAGGACCTGGGATAGGCAGATGTGGATGTTTGATGGTAGTACAGATATCGTCGCAGGATGGAAGCAGTTCCTAGTAAGGCCGCCTTTTGCAATTGACTAATAGCGAATTTGTCAATGCCAATGGTGTTCAAGTGGTGCTCCATTTGTTTTGGGATTGCACCCAAGGCGCCTATGACTATTGGTACTACCCTTGCTTGCTTTTGCCACAGTCTTTCTATTTCTATTTGTAGTTCTTTGTATTTTGTTATCTTCTCCAGTTCTTTCTCTTCTATTCTGCTATCTCCAGGCACTGCCACGTCCACTATCCCGACTTTTTTGTCTTTCTTATCGACAATTGTTAAGTCTGGGGTGTTATGTTGCAGGTGCTTGTCTGTTTGAATTCTGAAGTCCCAGAGCAATTTAATTTTATCATTTTCCATGACTTTCTCTATTTTATGATCCCACCAGTTTTTGCTTACAGGCAAATTATATTTTTTGCAGATCTTCCAATGCACCATTGTTGCTACTTTGTCATGCCGCTGCTTGTAGTCAGTCTGTGCAATCTTGCAACAGCTTACCAGGTGGTCCACTGTTTCTTCAGCTTCTTTGCATAGGCGGCACTTACTGTCTGTTGCTGTCTTCTCAATTTTGACTTTGTATGCATTTGTCCTTAAGCTTGGTCTTGTGCAGCCAGAATTAGTCCCTCGGTCTCTTTCTTCAATTTTCCTGCTCTTAGCCATTGCCAGGTTTTATTATTATCTGCTTTCCCCAGCTATTTTTTTCATGTATTGGCCATGTAGTGCTTTGTCTTCCCATGCCTCTATTCTGTTCTTCATTTGGTCTTTCTTGAAGGCCAGTTTGGTCTCTCCAGTAGTTAGTAAGCCTTCCTGATATACTAATTTCAGTGCCTCTTCATCATTGTTCTTCAGATATTCTTCCAAAGCCATTTTTTCTTCTTCAACCATCTGATGTACTTGTAGCATTCCACACCCACCTATTTGCCTTGGTAGAGAAAGTCTATCAATGTCACTGCGTGGATGAAGGGCATGATTCATTGTCATTATTTTTCTGGTCTGCCTATCCATTGCTTTTAGTTCTGCTTGAGTCCAGTCCACTATTCCAGCTGTGTACCTAATGACTGGGATTGCCCAGGTGTTGATTGCCTTTATGGTATTTCCTCCATTGAGTTTGGACTTTAAGATCGTCTTCACTCTCTTGATGTATTCACCTCTAATCTTTTTCTTGACTTCAGTGGGCTTGATGTTGTCAGCTTGAAGGATACCCAAGTATTTGTAGTATTCTTCCTCGTCCAGACTCTTAATGTTATTTTCATGGGGCATCTTGATTCCTTCAGTTTTCACTATTTTTCCTTGTTTGATAGTAAGTGTGGCACATTTGTCCAAGCTAAACTCCATTACAATATCTTGGCTATATATACGGACAGTGTTGAGCAGCGATTCTATTTCAGATGATGTTTTTCCATACAGCTTCAGATCATCCATATATTATTATTATTATTATTATTTGCAGTCAGCCACATGTTTAGACTGAACTTGGCATTTTAATCCACCTATCAAGTTCTTCCCAAGTAATGTAATGCTTGGATCCAAGCAGTGTGTCCTTTTGCAATTGACAAATGGAAATTTTGTCAATGTGCAGATTTATTAAACGCCATCCAATTTTTTTTTTTTAGTAAGGCACTTAATGTGCCGATAACCACTGAGATTACCACAGCTGGTTTATGCCATAACCTCTTAACTTCAGTGTTCAGATCTTGATACTCTGTGATCTTCTCCAATTCTTTGTCTTCTACTATCCCTGGTATTGCCCCATTAATTTCCCACACTTTCTTTTTTTAAACCACAGGTAAATCTGGTTTGTTATGTGTCTAGATTTTATCAATTTGTATTAAAAAAACCCTACAGTTATTACATGCTGCCCGTCTCGCAGCAGCTCTGGGTGTTGGGTAGGAAAACCCATACCCACCAAGCCTGGAGATTAAAACATATGAAGAACGGCTGCAGGAACTGGCTATGGCCAGTCTAGTGAAAAGAAGGGCTAGGAATGACATGATAGTAGTATTCCAATATTTGAGAGGCTATCACAAAGAAGAGGGGGTCAACTTATTTTCCAAAACACCAGAGGGCAGGACAAGAAACAATGGATGGAAACTAATCAAGGAGAGAAGCAACCTGGAATTAAGGAGAAATTTCCTAACAGTGAGAACAATTAACCAGTGGAATGGCTTGCCTTCAGAAGTTGTGGGTGCTTCATCACTGAAGAATTTAAGAAGAGATTGGACAGCCACCTGTCTGACATGATGTAGGGTCTCCTACTTGAGCAGGGGGTGGGACTAGAAAACCTCCAAGGTCCCTTCTAATTTGTTCTAATTTGAATTCACATAGCACACATACATACAATCATGAAAAACCTCAGCAATCTTCCCCAACAATCTTTGCAACTGAGATTATTGGAAGCTTGAAGTACCCATTCTTCCTCCTAATTTTACTGCCATTGCCACCACAGTTTTATAGATAAAACAAACTAATGGGTCCCATGTGTATTTATTTTTATGCAAGTCATGTTGATTGACTAGCATTTTTCTCCCATTATTATGGACTTGGAAATCTGTCTTGTTGCTTTTGCTAACTGGTCTTGGCCAATATGTTGCAGACTATGTCAGAATACACAACTCAAGATGCTCGTCTGGGGCCCCTGGTTCGGGAACAAATCCAGGATCGCCGGAGAAATAGAGTGTGAGTCTACTATATCATCTCAAACTGTCTAATTGTTTTTGGGTTGTCAGAAAAGAGCCTGGTCATAAGTAGGACGATCATGGCAAAAAGCCCAATTTTCTGGGAAGTCTGAACACAGGTATGGGCAGATGTCAAGTTAAACAATTGCAGCCAAATGTTTGCATAACAACCTAGACATGTTGATATATACTTAGAAATAAAGAATTGTAACCAAGAACTGTAGAACACTTGAAAGAGTGGTTTATTGGGCTACATGGATCCTTGCAGTTTTAATACTGCTGCTGTATTTTCTCAAAAACAAAGCCTCTAGCAGTCTAAGTAACTGTTGTGATCTGACATAGACTTTTCTCCTTTTTGAATAGGATAGAAAATGGCAGCAACTGTGGATCTCCAAAGCTACAGGTAAATTCCTGGCTTTTAGCAAGAGGTTCTTCAATTATTTTCTGATCCTTTTTCAGCAATTGCAGGTGTCGTTCCCAAGTAGACAAGCTTAATTTTGCTTAATTATTTTCACTGACTTTTTGTGTGTGTGTGTGTGGAAGTAAAAGCAGAATTCAAGAAGGGAAATAGCTCAGAAGACATTTGGACCTGCTACACGTGGTCATACTTTCTCTTTCATTTTATGGCACAAAACCCATCTTTTCATTGTGGCAACCTTTTCCTTTAAATGCTTCTGTTATACAGGGTCTTGCTTCCTTCCTCTCCCTTCATCTTCACACCTTATCATAGAGCGTTACAGGAAAAGGGAACCAGGATAGATTCATCTCATTTTCTTTTCTAGAGAAAATGAGACATGCAGAGCAGTGGTGGGATTCAAATATGTGAACAACCGGTTCTCTGTGTGGATGCTGCTTCCGGAAGTCCATTCTGGGCCTGGGCAAACAAGAAAATTAGCTACCGGTTCTGCCGAAGTGGTGCGAACTGGCTGAATCCCACCACTGATGCAGAGGCAACTCAACATTTTTTGTCCCAACATCTTCCCAAGGGTTTCTGATGAAAAACTAAATTCTGTAAGCTGAATTACATTGCTTAATCCTGGTATAGGGATGTGTATGCTAAATTTTCAAAGCATATTTTATCTTTCTAATTAAAGACAAGAGAGAAAGAGAATAAGAACTTTACTCTCAGCCATTGTAAATCCTGGTTTATGGGCTATCACTCTAATTTCTATTATTTTCATCAAACAGAATGTATGTATTTGCTAGCCTATATCCTGAAAATATTTCTAGGAAAAACCTGAATTTTCTTCCTACATCTAGATAGAGAAAGATTGGGAGAGAAAGAAAGGAGTACAAGTAGTCCTTGACTTATAACAGTTTGTTTAGCGACTGAAGTTATGATGGCTTAGCAACAGGAATGTTCAGCTCAATTGTGGTTGCAAGTCAAGGACTACCTGTATTTTTGGACACCCACATTTGCATTAAGTATCTTTAAGGGACTGATGTGTGCGGTATGGGGAAAGGACTTTCCTGTTAAATTTTGTGCATATTAGCCATAAGCATCCACTTGTACTGTGCTATGATTTCTTGCATGGTAAGATTTTTTTTCTGTGTCTTCTCCTTTTTTCATTCCCAGGTCAGGAATGTTGTGAACCGGTTTGTCATCCAAGAAGAAACTTTTCTGAACAGCAGTTACACCATGCAAATCAAGGACAAAGGTCATCATGATTTCCCTGCTTATGGTTCAAACTAGTCTGCTTTTCCATTGTGTAGTCAGAACAATTATTACTGTACCAAGATATGGGAGCTTGGCTCCATGAGATGATGGCAAGGTTTTGATTCGCTTGATGGATTATGATATATTCCCATTGTGGCGAACCTATGGCACGTGTGCCACAGGTGGCACGCAGAGCCCTCTCTGTGGGCATGCGCACTGTCGTCCCAGTCCTAGGCCTTCAGCTGGGTTTTATCTTTTTGCTTTAGGCCTCCGCCACCGTGTGCAAAAAAAAAAAGGTTCAATTTCAACTTCTCGCGGGAAAAGAAAAGATCTTGCAAAGTTGGAATTGATTGATTGAACTTTTTAGTCCCACCCAGCCTGCTGTTATCACGGCAGCCATGCCCACCAAATGGGCCACGCCCACCCAATGGGTCATGCCCACCTGGCACCCGACAATACATAAGTGGGTTTTGGGTTGCAGTTTGGGCACTCGGTCTCTAAAAGGTTTGCCATCACTGATATATTCTATATCTAAGGAATAGCTTCTGTGCTAACTCTCTTTCCTTTTCATCTTCCTCTCTAGTTTCATATGATATATACAGACCCAACTATTCCTGCCTTACCAGACTGTTACAGGTGAATGCCTCAGTTCAGGAAGTCCTTGCATCATTAGTAGACTGTCAGGACTGGAACAAAGACTGGATCCTAGTCAAGGTTAATTCAGCAGGAGGTGAGCCCGCTGTAACCGTTTAGGTGCTGTTTCCTTGGGAAGATAATGAAGCCATGCTAGTTTTGCAGGAGTTTCATGGAGATGCCAGTCATGTAAATAGGAGTTGCTTCATCCCAGTGCTATACACGATCCATCTGACAAAACCCCTTTTCCAAGGATACAAAAAAAAGTAACAATTTATAGCTGTTGGCTATCTGAAAGTCCTTTAAATGTGCTTGGTCCATGCGGGTCTGTCATTGGAAATTGACATCTTCAAGAATTTATCAGTAGCATGAGACAACTGAAGGAAATTTCCCTACCCTGTTGCCCCTCTGCTTAGTCTATCTTGAGGCAAAGAGTAGTGGCAGCAGATGGTCTTGTCAGCAGGAGCTGTTGATGCTTTCCACCATAGTATTATCAAGTCCTCAGTGGAATGAGCTCCCTCACTCTGGCTCCAGAGACATTTTTGGAGTTTTTAAATAATGGGTAGGGATGTCTATGGAGATTCTCAGTCATCCAGGTCATAGTTATACCAAAGATGCTTTTTCACAAGACAATTGGACTTTCTTGTTTTTCTTTGAAGATGTTTCACTTCTCATCCAAGAAGCTTCTTCAGCTCCACCATTCAGTCAGAGCTAAAGAAGCTTCTTGGATGAGAAGGGAAACGTCTTCAAAGAAAAACAAGGAAGTCCAGTTGCCTCGTGAAAGAGCTTCTTTGGGATAATGGGTAGGGATAGCAATGACAATGAGCACACCAATGGAAGACTTGAAAGACAAGTCTGGGGACAGTTCATCATGTAGAAAATTTATGTACTGTAGCTGGGCAGTAAGAGTTGACAATGACTTAATGGCATATAAATCATATCAGGGGTAGCAATTTTGGGAGATGGATGTTCCTGCCTTCTGCAGTGACAAGTGGCTCCGCTATGGCAACACTGTCCTGGAGCAACTGAGGGTTATATCCAAATTGGTGTTAGTCATACATATATTTCAGTAGTGTCAAAACCACAGAACAAAGGATTCCTGGATGTTTAAAGCTAAAGTATTTGAGGCAGGGAAGAAGAGTGTGCAGGTGAGTTAGTTTCCATGAAATGATTCTGAGACTCCCTGTTCACAATTCTAGCAAAGTTTTATAATCTGAGGAAATCATTTCTCTGATTTTTTAACATTGTACCAGGAAGGCCATATATATTATGGATGAATATATATTATGGATGAATGTCCATGTGGCACTTGTTTAAATAAAAAAAATATGGCAGGAGTCTCTCACCTGAAGCATTGGGAGAAGAACAAGGCTGACATTAGTAGAGTATCTGATTCACCAAGACACACTTCTAATTTTCAAATAATTTAAATCCTGTATCAGTTTAATCATGCTATGCATCTGATGGAGTTAAAAGCTTCTGGCTTTTAATAAAATTTGTTAGTCTGAAAAGGTGCTCCCAGAATCCTGATTTTTCTACCATAACCTATCTCCTCCTACAGTCAGCTAAGGAAAGAGTAAGTTTACCTACCACTGTTACAGTGTGGTTTGTAACTTGTTTATCCATAACATTCATCTATCATGTTGAATGTTGGCTCAGCTGTTGTTTGTTACTATTCTCTCATGCTTCAAATGGTCTGGCTTCCTTCAGAACACAAGAAAAAAAAAGGCCACATGTGGATTTGTCTACATCTACCAGATAAGGACAAACTGCCCCCTCTTGAAGACCTCCAGGGTTGTCTGCCCTGGGGGCCCAGGCTGGTTTCTCCTCACCCCTCCTTCATTTCCCTGTCTTCACACTTCCCTTTCCATGTTTATGCTGGGAAGGGCATAACTCCCTTCTCCTCCCCAGCACAGTTTGGCTCCTGACAGTCTGCCAAACAGCTGTTAGTCCAGCAGTGGAGCAAGAATCCTCAATGAGAAAAGCATCCCATAAAGAAAAGTTTCTCCTCCTTTTCTATTTAAATGGAATTCTGCTCCCCCAGGTGGGGAAGGGCAGACCAAATCAAACTATCTTGATGCACTGAGAAGAGGTGATTTAACCCTGTTATTCATGCATCTTTTAGTGGGGATGAGAAGAAAGTTGTATGTGGAGCTGCATTTATATGTGCATGCAGATGTTGATCCCAGCTATCATTCATTCTCACATGCAGCCCTTGGAAGACCCTATGAAAGGATCCACTACTTAGGTTTGTTTTTAAATGAAAAGCCACATGGCAGTTAATGTCATGTATGACCAGCTACTACAGTACTTGATTCTGGAGGAGGAAAAGATTTATTATAATGAATGTGAAATGGGCCTTTTTGAATCAGAAACTAGAGCTAAATTTACTAGCTAGGTAAGAGCTACTGAAGTGAGGTGTGGTTCTCTAACATGGTTTGTGGAAGGGAAGGCAAAGAGACGTAACAATCAGTCAATATTGATGCTTTGCTATATGCTGCCTCCTCGTGGCCTGTTGAGAAACAATTGTATTTCTCAACCTGCTTTCTAAAATTGGATTTTGGCAGATAAAGTTGTATTGCCCATGGAAGCTTTTGGTGTGTTTACATCCCTGGGGTTGAACGAGAGGCTTTTTGCTGTCAGTGTTCAAGAGCTTCACAACTTGGTGAGTATTCCTTGTAAATACACACAAGGGGAAATTTCCCACATTTTTTCCTATCCTGTTTACCATTACCACCACCCTCTCAGCCCAATTATCAAAGATAATTCTGGCATATAGAAAATATCTGGAGGAAACTTTACAACCATAGGAAGTGGCTTTTTCCCCCCAGTAGAAATGTTATGCTGAATTGAAGTGATGAAGTCCCTGAGGGGTCTACAACAACTTGCCACAGCCAACTCACTAAAGCCAACTCCCTGTGGCCAACATGCCACGGCCAACTCATGCAGGACAAGACTTACACTGATATCAAAGAAATGGTGAAAGAAAGGATGCCAAAGGAGGGACAAAATGAAATGTGAATGGCAAAAATTACAATAATTTTGTAATTATTTTAAATAATTAAACTGAATTGTTGAATTGTCCTGCAGGGAGTTTTCCCATGGTGAGTTGTCCCTCGGCGAGTCGGCCATGGCAAGTTTGTTGCAGCGAGTTGTCTCATTCCATCCCTGAGTTGCATGAAATTGGAGAAGGAGCAATCTATACCAAGATCACGGAGGGAGTATCCCAAATCAGACTTTAAATTAACTATTGGGGGGAAAAAACCCACAGATCTTTATCTGCATCCCTTTCACTTTGAAGCAAGATACTGATAAAAGATATTTCCAAACTGAGGCTGTATAATGATTCGGGATTTTCTGCATATGGTGTTGGAGTTACAGATTTGTGACAGAAGGTTAGAATTATCTATAACTGCAGATGTTCAGCCCTCTTTCCTAAATGCCAAACAAACACCCAAAGCTCTTAAAAGGGGTAGGTAAGGCTGTAGTACAGTTGTGTGGAATGGGTGTGGTAGGATTCATACATCTTCACTTTTAGTGTGACCTGGGCTTAGAGTTCAAACATTTCCTGAGGTTCCATTCTAGGACCCAGCATGCACTGTCTGTCTGTACATAGCAAAAATGGCATGCCTTTCTCCTTTTGCTTGCCAAGGCGCCTCACCCTGAACAGCTTGGCCCCAGTATTGGTTCCTGGGAAAGTTTGGATTTCATTAGTTCAAAGGACCTGGCTAATCAGTTCACTGAACATGACTGGAACCTCTTCAAAAGCTTCCATCAGGTAAGGAAGTTCTATTAATAAAAGATAATATTTGTAGCTCAAAGTTGAAATGAGGGCTCCTTGGTGCTCTCTGAGCTTGCATGTGTTCTTGCAGACCCTTCATTATCCAAACAAGGTAATGTTATCATTGCTAGTAAGGAATGCTGTTTGCTGTCAGTTTAAATTCTGGTGTCTTGCCCTGTCAGTGTTGGTGGGGGTGGTCTTAGAGATTCTTTAACAGCCCAATCAAAGAATCTCTTAAGAGATTCCATTCCATTCCATTCTATTCCAATTCCAATTCTAATTCATCCTAATTCTAATTCTAATTCTAATCCATTCTAATTCTATTCCATTCCAATGCATTCCATTCCATTCCATTTGCTTACAAGGACTGATGCTCCCAATCTTTCCATGAGTTATTCACCCGTCATTGTTGGTAATGAGCTGAGATTTCTGACTATTGCTTTGTGTCTAAAGTCAAGGCAAGCAGAGATCTAGCCGTTAGCATGCTCATTTGAAAGAGAAATTAAGGCAAGGCCTTGTGTCTTAGGACTGGAGCTTGAGAGAAATTTCCTGACTGTTCTGCTTTTTTTTTTTTAAGGTGGAGTTGATTTACTACGTGGTTGGGCCACAGAAATTTCCCAGTGCAACCACAGCCAACGTGGAGCGTTTCCTGCGTCGTTTCAATGAGCTGCAGTTCTGGATCACCACTGAGCTCTGCCTTTGTCCTGATGTTATCAAAAGAGCCCAGCTGCTCCGCAAATTCATCAAGCTGGCTGCGCAGTAAGAATCTACTAATTACGAAAATATTTAGTCAGAAGTGGGTAGACTCTATGCTTACAAGATCTAATGCCTTTTTATGAATTCCTTGAGGTCTATCAGTCAAGACAAAAATAATTAACAATAAGATACCTTTTAGTATCAGCTCCCAAATGTGTTCTCCCCAGAGAACAGTTTGTATTCCTTTCACAGAAAATTCCATTTTTGGTTTCTTCATCAGTTTTCTAGTTTCAACTTGCTAATTTAAAACCATGTAATTCAGGAAATCAGCCAGCTTGACCAAAGGCAAGGAAGGGATTGAATGAGATGTCATCCATAAAGCAGGTTGTCTTTCCCTGCCTTGTGCTATTGCTGTTATTAACCATTAGGATGACTCTCTCCCTTCAAGCACTGAAACCCACCTTGTAGATCCTGATTGACTTTTTGGAGACCTCTGAAAATGAAAAAAAGATATTTCTTTCCATGGGAATGGAGCCTCTGCTGTTTTTCCCTTTGGAAACTCTTGCAATTTATAATCAATTTTGTTTGGGATTTCCATTCTTGGCTGAATGGTGTTTCTGTATTTTTGGTTTCAGCCTAAAAGACCAAAGGAACCTGAATTCCTTCTTTGCTGTGATGTTTGGCCTGAGCCACTCTGCTATCAGCCGCCTTTCTAGGACTTGGGAGGTACATTTCTACTCTCCAAAGAAGGGGAAACAGTTGAATTGATATGCTTGGTCTGAAACTATTTACCTACATTAACGTAAACTGTGTTCAGGAGAGCAGTTTGTTGTATCTTCCAATTTCACATTTGCCACTTTGAAAAACTCCTCCCAGAGCTGTTATCATTTTTATGGGGTCCTGGTTAAGGAAATGAAGGAATGCAAAATAGTAATCACAGCCTGATTGTGTGTGTTTATGGGATATGAGGATGATCTGACTACAACATCTATCTAATCAGAATAGAGCTGGATGGGACCTTGGAGGTCTTCTAGTCCAGCCCCCTAATCAAACAGGAGTCCTTATATTATTTCAGACAAGTGGCTGTCTAGTCTCTTCTTAAAAACCTTGAGTGATGAAGCACCCACAATGTTGGAAGGCAAGCTGTTCCACTGATTAATTGTCTCACTGTTAAGAAGTTTCTCCTTAATTCTAGGTTGCTTCTCTTCTTGATTAGTTTCCATCCGTGTTTCTTGTCTTGCCTTCTGATGCTTTGGAAAATAAATTAACCCCTTCCTCCCTGTGGCAGTCTCTCAAATACTGGAATACTGCTATCATGTCCCCCCTAGTCCTTCTTTTGGAGCAATCGCTCCATTGATTGCTAAAGTTGATTCAGCTGAACTGGCTGGTTAGGTGGGTGTCTTCTTCCTCTCTCACTTGCTCCATGTATGTCCCTCTTGAAACTGTGCTTAGTTCCCAGATTGATGGAATATACTGATCAAGGACATGTGCACTGTGTTTGTGTAGCCATAATAATGAGTTTGGGATCGAAGAGGCAGGCCTGAAAAGCATTATCGCGTATACAAGATCTTCTGGGAGGGGAGATTCATTAACAGGCCTTAACAATCAGTTACTGTGTAAGAAGTAAAGGATAGTAGCAAAATTAAAGCAATTAAGACCATGTTTTCCAGTATCTCAAATACATAAGGAATGCCCAGAAAGGAGAATCTTGGCTTTTCCCCATTGACATTTATTTATCATGTAATTGCCGCCCATCTCTCAGACAATTCTTTTCACGAGAAGTTAGATTCTTAGAAACTGGGAAGAGGGTGATGAGCCATAGAATTCCAGAGCAGGAAAACATCTGAGTATTATAATTGCATATTTGATGCAGTGAATCAATGCAAGTTGAATGTAATAAAACAATGGATAAGTCAGGTATTACTAAAAGTTTTAAAGCAGTGACGTACCAAATCCTGTAATATGTCCATTTGTGGTCAGGAGAGAGATAGGGTGTCAAACGCTGTGAAGGGATTAAACTGTTGCAACTGTATGACTTATCTGTCCCAAGCTGAAATAAATTTGGCTCAAAATGGGTCAAAATGAGCATTTTAGGGGGATTTGGAAAGCAGATGACTCTAAACTGGGTTGTGGAAGAAATCCACCATCTCCATTTGGAGGTAACTCTTGGAGCACTGTGGCCTCTGTTATTCTTGATTCAGAAGTTGTGTGGAACAGTATTTATATGGAAAAGATATCTGTTTGATATCTGCTTGTGGCAAAGTTGACACAGAAGAGTGAATAATTGCATATAAAACAGTGTTAAGCAGAGGAAATTGCAAAAACAAGTTGAGATTTTCATTTAAAAAATAATTTGCAGAGTAGAACGTTGGACATGTGTGAATGTTGAAACATTGGGAATTTATATGGCTGCCTAATTTACATTGTAAGCCTGGATGGTTTACAGCTCTCTCTGAACTAGACAAAAAAAAATGATTCAAATGTAAAAGCAAACATCATTAACAGTGACCTGGCTCACATTCATATTCATTCATAGGAAGATTATTCATCCTAGCTCCCAATGCCGGGAAATAGCCAGATTTTGAAATATCAACTGGATGGACCTTAAATCAGCCTTAAGAAGGATTAGTCTGCTTGTTTATTTTTGTGGTTCATTTCTATGATTTAGTTTTTATTGAATTTTGTTTTTATGTTTTGTAGCGTGGATATGGTATTCTGATCACTAACAAACAGATCACACAGGCAGCTAGTGGGTTATTTGCATGTTCTGCCACAGAACAGATATTCAGTTTGAGAAGCAGTGCAGATTTCTTCCCTAGAAATTTTATTGAGCACAAATCGGTGAGGCATTCTTGGGTAGCTAAGGCTCAGAGATGATTCACATCCTTTTAGTTCAAAGGGGTTCTTGACAGGATGAGATGTATGCCAACAAGGAAGGCCTTCCTTGGTCAATTTAGGCTGACCTCTTTGTCCAGGGACATAACTTCTAGTAGCTTTTCTTGATGGATTTAACAAAGTTGACAAAGCTTTAGTTGTTCTGCATACATATGAAAATTCTACCAATGGGTTGGATATGTCTGTTCTTTTTCACGGGTGCAAAGTCCTACTTGAACAAATATAAGTTGAATGCTTTCCCTAATTTTCTGCATTAACTTATTAGCCATTCTTGACAAGCCTCCCTCTGATTTTTTCTTCATATTACAGAAACTTCCATACAAGACAAGAAAGCTATATGGCACTATGGAACGGATGTTGGTGAGTGGAGAGATATTCCTTTCTGTCTTTGGAAGTGTTGTTTCTTCTCTCATTTTACATAGTATCCCCACTCTGATTCCCATTTTACAGATGGGCAACTGGTGCCGAGAGAGCGGCTTGTGCCAGTTTTTATATTAGGAGTTGCAGCTAGACTTAAGAGTAGTAGTTTCAATGTTAGCCAGAATAATTTACATTCTGACTCTCAGGTGCTCAACAGTTTATCAGGATCCTTCCACAGAAAGATAATATAGCCTGATAATAGCCTGATGGAACATAATCTACCTAGACTAGGATCAGAAATATTCTGCACCTTCCTCTCTTTCTCTTGATAGACTTTCTCACAAAGGTGGGAGCTCAGTTATTTGTGTTGGTCAAATTTAGATCTCTCCCTGAATGGATTCAATGAGAACTCAGTTTCTTCAGCTCTTAATTTCAAAATCTGCTGAGGAATTCTGTCCTTCAGTAGATGAATGGAAATCTATTTCTGGACCTCTGAAGATACGAGGGGTTGAGGATTATGGAAGAGAATCCCTTATATAAGCTCAGCAAACTTTTCTGGAGGTTGGATGCCACTGTGCAATCTTGCCTTATGACCTCAACATCAAACACACACCCTATCCAACTCATTATTAAATATTGTCCAAAATCTCATGCTATTGCCATTATGATAGTCAACACTCAAATTCCAAGTTGTATTGAATCTCCATTTAAATTTTGCAAGATTTTGGCACTGTAGCATGAGGTTTCCTGTGAGATAGTGTTCTAATGAGGCTTAGCAAGTTTTTATTTTTTCCCCCAACTATATAATTCTGAACATATATTTAGGGACTTTGCATAAGCACGGAGGCTAGCAGGGGACAGCCCAAGGCTTTATTTCCCCTTTTTGCAGCCCTTGGATTCACCTCTTATCTGACAGTACAGTTTTCAAAAACAAAACTGAGCAATTCCTCCCAAAGCCCAGCTCTGTTCATATTCTGTAGTCTTCAGCTACACCCTCAAAAGTTAAGTCTGGCCATTGATCTCCAGAAGATTGCCAGGGCCTGCTAATTCTTCAACATTTACAGTCCAGATGAAGCCAGACAATTGAAAAATGGGTTTGGACAAGCAACAGTCTGCCTAAAGCATGTTTGACTACAAGCATCCCATCTGATTTACCTTTTTTCTTTCTAGGATCCTTCTTGGAATCACCGTATTTATAGACTGGCTGTGGCTAAGCTGTCTCCACCCATGATCCCTTTTATGCCCCTCCTTCTTAAAGGTATAATTGAAGGAATCCTATTGAATATACATAAGTACAGTTTTAAGTAACTGACAAGTAAAGCCTCAAAATCACCATCGCTAGTTCAGAGGTTCTAAAACATGAAATGTAATACAACTACATTGAAACCAAAGAAGCAGCTGGCAAATTAATTCTACTTTTTGCCTATGTACATATTTAAGAACTTACCAAAAGTGAAACTCAAGGAACAAAAGGTTTCTTATTCAAAAGTTTTCGAACCTGTCCGAGAATTACAAAAGGTAGATGGTCTCCATTTCTTTTTTTTTTTGCAACAAATGATGAGATACTTGGATTCATTTTGCAGATATGACCTTCATTCATGAGGGCAACCGTACCTTGGTGGAGAACCTTGTCAACTTTGAGAAGCTGGTGAGTAGAAATATGGGGCAGGGAAAATTGAAGTAGACTGGCCGTTGTGCTGTTTTGTGAGTGAAATAGGACATTTCATTTTGAAAAAAAAATATTCACTAGCTGGAAAAAACGACTCTGGTGTTCTGAGAAAGAGGTGTGGTGGCACACTGGTTAGAATGCTGTATTGCAGGCTGATTCTGCCAACTGCCAACAGTTCAATTCTGAACGGCTCAAGCTTGACTCAACCTTCCATCCTTCCGAGCTCGGTAAAATGAGGACCCAGATTGTTGGGGACCATATGCTAACTCTGTAAACTGCTTAGAGGGGGCTGTAAAACATGGTGAAGCAGTATATAAGTCTAAGTGCTATTGCTAGTGCTATTTTGACTGCATGCATGCTGTGTTAGTTGGTTTTTCAGTCTACAAATAGCTTGATTAGAGAAAATAGAGAGAAAACAAGTGAATAATTTACCACAAGCCCATATCTATCCTGTACAGCGCATGATGGCCAAAGCTATTCACCTTGTACATCACTGTCGGAGTCATCCCAACCGTGAGTATAGGAGACTGCTGGGTTTGGGGGAATTGTGATCAGTGAGGATCAAGGGAAGCAAAGCCTACACACTGCAGTCTAGAATGGTTGCCACACAGGATTCTTGCACAAATACAGTTTCCTGATGAAATATATTGATTCTCTCTACCCCCTTTCAGTTTACAAAGCAATTTTCAACCAGAACATCAAACTAATTTGTAATGTTAATGTTTCATCTATTTTTAATTCCAGTAAAAATTAAAAAAATTAGCTCATCCCATTCCTAAGAAAGTCATACAGTTGAAAAGGGAAGATTTACAGGTGATCTGAATCACAAGGTGAGAGAGATGCATCAAGAGACAAATAGCTTTCCTGGCTAGATGTTTTACAAGGATGCTTGCATTATAATAGCCATTTCTGTTAGAGCTGGAAGGTTCAGGAACATAGAAAAATGTCTTTGCAGACGACAAAAAGCAGAAGTTGGCAGCAGCTGGCTAGGAAATAACACATTCCCCCCCCCTCTGTAAACTTCTGACTTTCTATTTTTACTTTTCCTCTTCTCCCTTTCTTCAGTTCCCCTCTCTCCCTTGCGGAGTCGTCCCCAGCACCTCTTGGAAGAAGCTCGGGCAATGCGCGCCTCAACCTGTAAGCAAGTGAATTGGGGAAGGGTTTGTGTGTATGTCTCCTATAAATTGTTTAACTGTAGGTTTTTCCTTTGGAACTCTCAAATCATTGCATGATTTATATTGCTCTCCTTTTCAAAAGTCTGTATTGGTATTTTCTCCCCCACCCTATCCAATGCAAATGTAACAACAGTTGTTAGGACTATGTCCTAACAGAGGTTTTCATGAAAACTCCTTGGAAATAACTATAATTCCATGATAGAGTTCTGAGTCTGTGTGCTAAAGGATCTGGATTCAGCCCCTGGCATCTACAAGTCCATGGAAATGGATGAATCTCTTAAATTTTAAAAATGCACTGCTTTTTAGACTGCAGCAAGGGATAAGCAGCCCCCTGTCTATGGGCCATATAAATATCCCACCTCCACCCCAGCCACAGGTGATGGCAAACTTTCAGCAGCATATGTGTTTGTGAGGAGGTGGAGTATTGGAGCATTGGAAAAAGTAAAAGAGTTGGGTCTTAATACACTACTTTGCTCTAAAATAATCATTGTCTCCTACACCAGGGGTAGGCAACCTTGGCTCTTTTATGACTCGTGGACTTCAACTCCCAGAATTCCTGAGCCAGCCTGTCCTACACCTATCCCCCAGAAGGCCAACAAAGTTGGTCTCAGTTTTTCAGGAGACTTTGTTACATCACTGGCCACATCTGCCTTAGAAGCCAAAAAAGAAAAGATTCTGCCCATTTAATTATTTTCTTGCTCAATATAGCTAGGAAACTTTGTCAACTGATCCTTTATTTAGTGGTGTTCTGCCTCTTTCAGTACTATTGTGGATGATAGATTTCCTTAATCCTGGTTTGTTTCATTTCAGGCTCAGAACAGTCCCTCAGCACTCGAAGTCCAGCTGCAATCTGGGCCCATATCCAGCCTCTGAGAGTGATTGACAGACAGAAGGAACTTTTGCGGCTGTCACGAGACCTTGAATCTTGATGCTGGAAGATTGCCCAAGCAAGGACATAAAGCGTGCCAAGGATTGTTTGGGAAGACACCTTCTTGTGGGTTAGGCCAACTCTCCTCACATTTGGCCAGAGGAAGATCTCAAGCAGATAAGAAATATTGTGGTGGCACATTTGATCTGTCCTGATAATTGGAAAATAGTTGACATCGCTGCAGAGCCTAAGGAATGATGTATCACCTGCCTCCTTTGATGGTTTTACAGGCTGCAATATTTCTGGTGTGAAAAAAGACCACTTTATGGAACTCTTTGAGCTGCCTTACCAGGAAAGGAGCAAAGGAGCTCCCATTTATCAGTTATCAGTGTTCAACAGAAATGTGTTTTGTTTTTTTGTTTTTTTTTTTTTAAAAAAAGAAAAATGGGAAGATTTTTTTGGGGTGTGTATGATGAATTGTTATTTTCTGACTTGGAGTTTCCTCTCTTCTGCCAGGTTCAAATAAGATTCTTTAAAACATTTGAATTGAGCCATTTCCTTCCCTCCAGTTGAGTTGATTGAACTAATGAGCAGAACATACTGATGTATTTATTTATTCATTAAATGTATATCTTGCTTTCCTCCTGGAGCTCAAGCAGAGCACACAGCATTTCCCACTTCAAGTTTTTCCTTACTGGTGAAGTAAGCTGGACTAATGAGGAGATAGTGGCTGGCCTAGCAGCTTCTATGGCATATGATGGACTCAGAACTGGATTTTTCTGCTCCTAGTCTAGCGCTTTTACTTCATTGAGACATCACATCTCTTGTATGTAATGCCAGTAGGCAATTTGATAGAAATGGGATGCACCAGAAGGTTACAGGAGATACAGGAATGCTTCTTAGAATGGTGTACAAGCTGCCATTCATGCCAATGGAAGCTTTGCCCATAAAAATTCATGGAGTTGCAAACATCTTCTATCACAGCAACAGGTAGGTGTGCAGGAATTACCCGATCCAAGCATCCATATGCCTGCCCTCCTCATATTGTCATGGAGGCAATAGCAAGGCTGGTTGAAGAAGGTTGTAAAATCTGGAGCTGCCCTCCCACCCACAGATGGAGAGCTTCTAAGCAAATGGCAGGCTGAAATAGATTAGAGGTGAGTGAGAGTACAAGTTGTCTATGAACCAATGCACAGAGTATGAGGAATAAACAGGGTGAATTAGAAATTCAAGTAAATGAGGGCAGATATGATATTGTTGCCATTACGGAAACCTGATGGGATGAAACCCACAAATGGAACATACAGCTAGAGGGATTTAAAATATTTAAAAGAAACAGACCAAATAAAAGAGGAGGTGGAGTTGCACTACGTATAAGAAACAACTACATCTCTACAGAAATAGAGCACAACAATGATGAGAACTGTCTTGAATCCATTTAGGTCAATATAAAAAGGGGAAAAATGACATTGCAATAGGTGTATACTATAGGTCACCCAACCAAACATAGGTAATAGATGAACTTTTTGCTAGTCAGTTAACTAAGGTATGTAGGAAGCACATCACAATAGTAACGGGGGACTTTATTCTGACATCAACTGGGAGACAAACTCTGCCCGAAGTGGAAGATTAAACAAGTTCTTGACAAACCTAGCAGACAACTTTGTCTCCCCAAAAGTAGAGAAGGGAACTAGAGGATCAGCCATATTGGAGTTAATTCTCACAGAGATAAAATGATAGAAGATGTTGAAGCTTGGGGGAGCCTTGGGGGGGGAGTGATCATGCAATATTGGAATTCAATATTATGCAAGTACAAATAATAGAACAAAGTCAAATTAGAGTCTTGGACTTTAAGAGAGCTAATTTCAATAAACTTAGAGAAAGCCTGGGAAGGATTCCATGGATGAGAATCCTCAAGGGGAAAACAACTTAAGAAGCTTGCGAAATTTTGAAAAGTGAGATTATTAAAGTCCAGTTTAGCACAATACCAATGAAGAAGAAAAATAACAGCACTCAAAAGAAACCAGCATGGCTGCATAAAGAACTGTCTGATAAATTGAAAGACAAAAAGGATGTATAAAAAAATGCAAAGAGGGACACATAACTAAAGCAGAAAATTAGCAAATAGCCCAAGCCTGCGAAGTTGAAGTGAGGAAAGCTAAGGCTCAAAATGAACTAAGGCTTGCAACAAAAATAACAAAAAAACTTCTTTCAATATGTAAAACACAAGAAAAAAGTCAAGGAAACAATTGGTTTTTAATGGGAGAAAGTGACAAAAAGGTAGCAACAAGCAATGAGGAGGTAGAACTTCTTAATTCGTTTTTTTTGCATCCGTCTTTACACAAATGGAAAAAACAGCCCAACCTATCAAAAACAGTATTGTAAAAAACAGATTAGGAATACAAGTTAAAATGGGCAAGAAAATGGTAAGTGAGCACCTGTCCATCCTAGACGAGTTCAAATCACCAGGACCAGATGGACTACACCCCAAGGTTCTGAAAGAACTGGCAGATGTGATATCTGAACCACTGAACTATATCTTTCAAAGATCCTGGAGAACTGGAAAAGAGCTGATGTAGTTCCCATCTTCCCAAAAAAAAAAAAAAAAGATCTAGGAAACAACAAACCTAACAGCCTGACCTCAATACCTGGGAAGATTCTGGAAAAGATAAACAGCAAATCATTGAACACCTAGAAGCAAACAAAGTCATAACCAAAAGCCAACATGGGTTTGTCAAAAACAGATCATGCAGACAAATCTTATTGCATTCTTTGATAAAGTGACAAAATTAATGGACCAGAGGAATGCTGTGGATATAATTTACTTGGAATTCAGTAAGGCATTTGATAAAGTAGACCATAACCTACTACTTGATAAGATAGAAAAATATGGGTTAGATAGCATCACTACCAGAGGGATTTGTAACTGGCTGACCAACCACACTCAACGTGTGGTCCTTAATGGAACTGTATCTACATGGAGGAAGTATGCAGTGGGTTACCACAAGGCTCTGTTTCATCAGTGATTTGGCTAAGGGATAGATGGAGAACTCATCAAATTTGCAGATGACACCAAGCTGGCAAGAATAGCCAATACTCCAGAAGATAGGCTTAAGATACAGAAGGATCTTGACAGATTTGAACATGGTATAGTATAAGTCAGGGGTAGGGAATCTTGTTTCTTTTATGACTTGTGGACTTCAATACCCAGAATTCCTGAAACAGCCATGTTGACTCAGGAATTCTGGGAGTTGAAATCCACAAGTCATAAAAGAGCCAAGGTTCCCTACCCCTGGTATAGGTGGTACCTGACTCAATAGTAGAAACTGTGAGAGAGATCTTGGAGTCCTAGTGGACAATCACTTAAATATGAGCCAGCAGTGTGCTGTAGCTGCCAAAAAAGCCAACACAGTGCTGGGCTGCATTAACAGAGGGATAGAATCAAGATCACATGTAGTGTAATACCACTTTATAATGCTTTGGTAAGGCACACTTGGAATACTGCATCCAGCTTTTTTACATCCACGATGTAAAAAAGATGTTGAGACTCTAGAAGGAGTGCAGAGAAGAGCAACAAAGATGATTAGGGGACTGGAGACTAAAACATATAAGGAACGGTTGCTAGAATTGGGTATGTCTAGTTTAACAAAGAGAAGGACAAGGGGTGACCTGATAGCAGTCTTCCAATATCTCAGGGGTTGCCACAAAGAAGAGGGAATCAAGCTATTCTCCAAAACACTTGAAGACATGACAAGAAGCAACGGATGGAAACTAATCAAGGAAAGAACTAAGAACCTAGAACTAAGGAGAAACTTCCTGATGGTTAGAACAATTAATCAGTGGAACAACCTGCCTCCAGAAGTTGTGAATGCTCCAACACTTCATTGGTAACACTGGAAGTTTTTAAGAAGAGATTGAACAGCCATTTGTCTGAAATGGTATAGGGTTTCCTGCCTGAGCAGGGGATTGGAGTAGAAGACCTCCAAGGTCTCTTCCAACTCTGTTATTCTGTTAAGAATCAAGAGGTTGTGGCTGCCCACTTCTGTTTCTCCATACAGAAAGTGAGTGCTTCAGTTTGCCTGAGACAGATATGGTGTTTGATAGGCAAATCCATCCCTAGGGTAATGTGACTTTCTGTCAATGAGCTAAAGAGGTTTTCAGGTGGGACAGTCTAATGGAACTCTGTGTTAACATAAGAGACTTTCAGGGGACCAGATCTTCTCATAGGGTTATGCAACTCTAGATTAACCAGCTGTAGACTGCATCACTGAGAATTGGACACGATTGAACAGAAGGAACAAAAAAGACTAAGCAAAGGGATTTTTGATTGGGCAAGTCTACTTACTAGTGCATGCAATTCCCTATTTGCCAATTGGTATATTGCAGGGGTAGGCAACCTTGGCTCTTTTATGATTCGTGGACTTCAACTCCCAGAATTCCTGAGCCAGCATGGCTGGCTCAGGAATTCTGGGAGTTGAAGTCCACAAGTCATAAAAGAGCCAAGATAGCCTACCCCTAGTATATTGGGTAGAGAGAATTTGAGCAGGCAAATGGTGCTGGTCATGATGGCGGCAAACAGCTCCATGTGAGCCAATGGACGCTGGGCCCACAATCCTTCTCCTAACAAGGATTTATTGCATGGTCATTTTTGTAAACAATATGTTTTCTATATTATCCTTTATTTTTTTATTCTGATTTTGTAATTATTCCATTATGAATATATAACTTTAACATATTGTTGTGTATGAATCTGTCTCTCTAATGCTATTCTAGGGCTGGGGGGGGGTGTAGGAGTTTCTAACCTAATTGGACCTGCAGATTCTTTAGACCAGCCAAAGGCAAGAAGAAATATTTTAGGTACTTCTAATCTTCAATATTTTAATTGCAATCCTTTTTTTTTTAAATGTATATAGCGAGTCAAAGACTTTTGCAGCAGTAATTGCTTTCTTTCCAATTTCAGTAGGAAATGCAAGCTGAATTTGCAAATCCTTAACGAATATGGCAACCAAAATACAGGAGTACTTCAATTTATTTTTCATTCTCTGTATTTTGTATTGCAGTTCTTTAACCAAAATGTCCTTAGAGAAACATTCATGTTAGAGAACTAGACATACATGATTTGCAAAAAAGATAGCGTAGAGAAAACATAATAAAGTTGTGTGTTTTAGGGGAAATAATCACACGTACATAAAACATACTAGGAACTAGGGTTTATTTCCTTGCCCCAGAAAATGTGTGTCCATTGTTTTTTGTCCTATTATCTCCAAAGCTAATTTATGTACAGGATCACCTCTGAATTATTCAGTGCTTCCAAATAAAGGTCATAGAGCACTAACAGCTAGGCAGATACTCAGCCTTATAGTGATGGGCTCTTCATTTCATAGTGCCTTCAAAAAGATGTTGAAATGTTTAACAAAGATTAAACCCAATTGATTCTTTCACAATCTTCCACAGTGATAGTCTCTTGCTATTCTGCAGCTGTTTATTTACTAAATTTCCCCACATGTTTCACAGTTGCATCAGCTTAAATGTAGTTGAGGGTCAATTCACTTCAATTAGAACAACCAAGATGCAGTTTTAGCTTAAAATCCACTTCTTAGGCAAATACATTTTATTGATGAATGAAATGTTTCACAAATTCACCATCCAGTTTGAGAAAG